TTTCTCTTTAAAATATTTTCATACATATGAAACAATGAAGCATATCAGCCGACAGAACAGATGGCTTAAAAATATTAATAACAAAGAGGAAAATAATCAGATCAAACAGTTTGACAGGATGGACAGAACTTGCCAGTTGTAACACTATAAACACAAACGTTTAAAAAAGAAAGGAAGAGAGTTGTCTGAAAAGGTAAAAGAGAATCAAATATTCATAAAACCATGGGGAACTTCTGGGATACACCACATTAAAATACTTGCTGAAGATCTATTGTAATTCAATATAAAGATCCACAATAATTCAAGGTCATAAATGCATGATTTCGGAGATGATGCATTTCATAGGAGATTCTTTAAGGCTTGTCTTGAAAGGGAATGAATAAAAAGAGTAGAATTGTCATATAATGTTGAGACATACTTAACACAAACTGATGAATTGGTCCTCTGTTAAATCTCTGGGTGACTGTAGCCCTCCAGAGGATGTGTTGAGAACTGCAACCAAGAACACAATGCTGCTCCATCACATAGACGAACAAAACACTGTTCAAAAAAAGTACTGAAGCGAATTCAAAAAGTATTCCAGTAAAGTTTTCAGAATTCCCAGCTGGAAACAGACATGTTTTATAACAGGTGTATTTAGTTAAATTATCAAATTCATACTGGTAGTCTCCTCCCAATGAGGTATTCACACCAAAGTTACGGTAAAAAGTGTTAAACATGAATGATTTAATGCCTCATTTGGTGAAACACAATATGCTCTCTGAGCACAAGGTTGCTATTCTTGGCTTTCGGTTTTCCAAAGGTCTGGTCTGTGTTTTGGTTTTCAGTCTTGGTGTTGTTGCCAAACACTGCCGAGTATTTTGTTTCAACTCAATGATGTGATTAAATTTAATTGCAAAAAGCCTGCTTATAAAAGAGGTTTTAAGTGACTTGAGTGGACTCAGCAGAAAATAAATCTTGTTCCAGTCATTCATGCTGCTGGGAGGACTGGCAGCGTGATTGTGTTTTTATTCAGGCCACTGGAGATGACGCAAAAAATTAATCATGCAGAAGTTTTGGTAGATGCGTCATTACTTTCAAGACCAATAAACTCCTTATGGTTAAAACATCATCCCAAGTGTTGTAGTCTGCAGTTCTCTGCAGTTGTATTTGTCTGTTAGTTAAACAGTGAAAAAACGACTGCTGCAGCAACTTGGACAGGAATGTTGTCACATTAGCTAGACTAAATTACAAATACAGATTGTGGATTTTGACCATGTGGATTTACTTCAATATTGCATGTGCAATATTAAATTCACAGCAGTTCAAAAGTTTGGATTCAAATTCTAGTTCTTAACTTCTGAGGACGACAGTTTAAATATACAAAGAGGCAACAATTTTTAGGGGACAAGCTAATGCTAACTTTGGCAAAGGGTTAGCTTTTTATTGCATTTATTTAACTAGAAGGAGAATTTAACAAGAATAACAGTCTATAGCAATGTTAGCGGCTGTGTGAGACTGTACAGAGGTTTGCAGCAAAATGCTAACTCCAGGATGCTAAAATGCTCACAGTGACAATGCTAAGGTGCTGATGTTTAGCAACTAATGATTACCAAAATTTGTCATATTTTGGAGGTCCATTGTCGGCATGCTAACATTAGTTAATAAGCGCTAAATGCGAGGTACACGGGTAGCAGATGGGAATGTCATTAGTTTTGCAGGTATTTAGTCAAAAACAAAAGTATTTGGCAAATCAGATTTTTAACTTGATGGTTGCACTAGATGAAAAGGTAAGGGAACACCAGAGGTATTAGAACTTATCCCGAGGGGGCAAAAAATAATATCTCTAAATTTCATTGCAATCTATCCAATAGTTGTCAAGCTATAGAGGAAAAGTCAGCAAATCACCAAAATAATTAGGATTCATCCTGTAGGGACTGTGGATGATGTATGAAATTGCATGGCAATCCACCAAGCGGTTTTGAGATATCTCAGGACTAAAGTGGTGACGACTGATCGACTCAACCGACGATCAACAATTCCATTCATAGAGCCACACCGCAAATGCAGCTAAAAATAGGTGAGTAAAACTATTTTGGTTTGAAATAAGGTAAAAAAAATTCTCATAAGCAGCATAAGCATGATTCATGATAACTGAGATTCCAAGGAAAATACACGGCTTTCGGTTTACAACTAAACTTTGGATAAATCTGTCCGCGATGTCTGATCCTTTGGGTGATTTAAGTCTACTATACAGTCATTCACTTTGTCATGTGGATTAAACCACAGCTATTTCCTGTGCAGACAAGGCATACTGGTTCCCTATAACAATGGTGCACTGAAATTTTTTTTTCACCAGAAGGGGGGTCAGTTGGTGATGAAAAAAAAAGGTGGCCATATGCCACATCAGCTTACTGGAATTGAACAAAGCAGATATTCCAATAAATTGCTCCTCCCTAGTTTCCATTTTAGACTCCTTGCATCATCGGCTTCAGAAGCAAAGTGTTTCCATCTGCGTCACATTCTTACTTGAACATAAAGGAGCAATGTGTTTGTGTTCCGTAGCCCAACTGAATGGACGAGACAGTTTGTTTTGGCAAGTTACAGTATAAGATTCCTGTTCTTGCAAACAAAATCATTAATTAAAGTTCTGGGAATCTTGTGCCACCAGGTCGCCGACTACAAAACAGGGTCTCAATTAGTTAGAGTTTAAATGGGAGATGGATGCACAACAGCAGTTTATGAAAAGAATGATGAAGAAGAATCAGTTGACTGAAAAAGTTCAAAGCTATGTGACTGATTAACATAATTCATCCACTACCTTGGCTGCAGAGGAATAATGTCTATTTGGCATAGTTAGCTCATAGTTATTAGAAAATAAATACGATAATTGCATTAAAAGCTCCTTATGTTATCTAGACGGATGTAGATGAAGATGAACACAAACAGAAACTCGCAGAAAACTTTGAACTTAGCTTAAAAATCCAAATGTTAATGTAGCCAGTTGTCCCACATCTTCAGTAAACTTGTCAACCTAAGAAATAGGTCGGTATATTTGGTATAATTCACACCTTCTACACAAAATACCATAGCAGGAATTTCCTCAATATGAAGGACGAGCATACGTCCTCCAAAAGTTGTAACCAAAACCTTTACTTGAGAACAAGAATAGCTTAAAGACAGGTTACCTCCCTGTCGCAGGGATTCCACACATGTAAGTGTGTTTTGGAAACTGCGAGGCATGTAAAACATGCACGTTTCTTTGTTTTCTTAGTGTTTCGTCAACTAGAAAACAAGACTGGCAGATCAGTTCAAGTGTCTGTCACTAATGTTGGCTTTTATTCTTCTAGTGGTGAGTTTAACACGTGTCATTTCAACATTTTCCACTTTAAAACCCCTTTTTAAAAAAGTCATGACATTCTCATGCTTTTAATTTTGAGGAAATATTTCCTCCCAGCCTTGTGCTGGGCTGCATTCATGCAAACCTCAGTGTTTGGTGATACTGAGAAAGTACTCAATAATACCGTTAACAGCCCATTCTGAACCTGAGCATAAGAACTGTGTTTTCCCTAAAGGCCTTGGATTTTCCATCAGGGCTGTTGGTTAGTCCGCTGTCCTTCAGCTGTTGGCCTCAGAGTCACTAATGCGGCAAAGCCAGATTGAGCCTCCTAAGGGGAGCGATGTGTCTGTTTATGAATTAAGCCGAAGCTGAAAGATGATCCTTCTTGGTTTCTGAGGGTTTGTGTTTTGGGTTTCCATCATTTTCACCAGGACGAAGCCAAAGAGAACCTTGATGGGGCTTATATATAAAAAGGAGAGTGAGCCGACTTTATTAGACAGTACTTTGTAAAGAAGAACTTACTCTTACAGTAAACTTTCACAAACTTTGGCAGAGACTGCACTCAGTGATGCATTCAGGTTTTTCAGTAAAAGCGCTGAGGGAGCTTAGTGTAATTCCCCATTTAATGTGAGAAGTACCTGGGTTGAACAACCTTGAGGATATACAGGTGACAGCGCTCACAGACGGTTTGACTTGGCTGTCATGGTGTCACTGGTGTTATTGGAAATTCTGTCATTGGCCACAATAAGGGAACTCTCATCGAGGAAACACAGATTTAAGATAGTGTGCAGCAAAATTGAGAATGTCCTTGCAGTAAGTACATAGACATTCACTGAAAACCTTGGCGGTTGGAGCATCAGGCCTTCAGACAAAACTTGAAAAACACCTCCAGAAACCGCCACAGTTTATGAACTCTGTGTGCCGTTATTATGTTTCTATTTTTAACTTGTTGCTGCTTTTGCCTCTAACAGCAATAATAAAAACAGGTAGACAACGTCATAGGCTTCACGTTCCAGCAAAGACAAGATTTCACGGTTCTTCATTCCATGTATATCTCAAAAGTGAGATAATTGCTTTCAAAGACATATAAAGAAAATCAGAGGACAGTTAAAGATGCCTCTGCAAGGAGATGATGACTCACTGCCTTTACGCTGAATTACAAGATGGCAAATACCATTTTCTCATCTAATATTGCAAGGCATTTCACCTATGTATAAGATGGCATTAACATACACATACTTTATTTCCATTCTTTCCTTCTCTAACGTATCATCTGTTTCTTTGTCTACTTGTGCACATGGGTATTAGTCAGTTTGTGTTGCATGGTGCCAGCTCAAGCTACAATCTACCTACACATTTTCCATTTCTTAAGAGTTAAGATTGAATTGAGACATCAAAAACAGGCTTACATCAGTAGACACGCACTCAGCAACTGAAATAATCAACTGGGAAGCAAAAGTAAGAACACAGGTTGAGTGCAGGTTCCAAGTAACTGAGTCAGAAGAATGTGATCTGTCTTTTTATGGAATTTGGTATGATTTTCCTGCATAATCAGAGCATGTTGAGAAGTTGACCTGTGAGGGTCAGGCTCAGGTTTGAGTCGGGGGAGGAGAGAGGAGGGGAATGGACCCAGGCTAGACTCACGTTCAGAGCAGACTATTTAAATGGGGGAAACCTGCAAAGAGGCATGTGTCATCTCTCTGTCATTCAGTGGTACAGGAGCACAGCGACAAGTCAAATAACAGGTAAGGCTATTACATGATATTTTACAGTATACGAGAGTATTAGGGTGGAGACATAAATTATGACAATATTATACATAAAGTAAAGTGTATAAAGTAATGCTGTAATCTTTTATTAAGTAAAATAGAGGCTTTAATATATCTGTTAGTTACTGAGCAGTTGTTATGGGATCTTTGTCATTTTCATAACCGAGTTACTTTTTGTTTTAGGATGCGCATCCTTCTGGCCCTTCTATATGTTTATCTTGTGGCAGCTCCTGGTTGCACAAGTCCTCCCAGAAAGGGAGACTCCATGAGAAATACCATCCACAACATAATGAATATCGCTCAGATAACTCTGGTCCACATTAAGAAACTAAGGACAAAGGTATGCACATTGCTTTATATGAGCACAGTTCACCAGTTTTTAATTTTTCTAATCAGTGTGTTTTTAGGAAAGTGTAGGATGTCCATTGTTTTCTGGTCTTTTTTCAGAAAAGAGTAAATGATGATGATGATGATTAATATTATTATTATTATTATTATTATTATTATTATTATTATTATTATTATTATTATTATTATCACTGTTATCTTTTTTAGCTTTGCAAGAACAAGTTTAACTTTAGGCAAAATTTTCGGAGAACACATACATCACGGTAATGTAACAGTATAAAGAAGTACATCAAAGTAAAGAAGATTTATTCATTAAGCTTTAAATATTCCCTCTCAAACTAAGCAACATATTGATATACATATGACTTTTTTTTTTTCTTTTAGTTGCCAGTATCCCCACAGATAGAAGTCACCAGTCCTTCCATTGACGGACTTATCAGTATCAGCCATGACCTTGGACTTTTGGACAATGAACTACAGAGCACAGATCTCCTCAGCCAGATCCATGCTGATGTCTCCAGCTTGGAGGGAAGTGTGCGCTCCCTCGCTCTGACAATGGACTGTACCATCCAGGCCAGACCCAGTGAAGAGACCGGGGACAGTTTGTTCCCAGACAGTCACCTTTACCTGACTCTGATCAAGGTGCAGCGCTATCTGGAGAAATTGCTTCTCAACAAGGACAAACTCAAGGTCTGTTAAGAAATCCACTCTTGTATCATATATATGTCAAGTCTTGCCATAATGCAAATATAAAGAAGATTATTTGCACAAATAGCTCGGTGTAGGCAACAGTGTAATTTGTCTTTGCACATACTATTTTTCTATAGTAGCATAATAACTGGACTTCTGTCACATATTGATGAAAAGTATGTGAATAACATTTTCAGCCGAATTCTCAATACTCAAGCAATAATACTTTTCCTTTGGTTGCAAAAAGGTTTACATGTAATGCAGGTAGCTTTTCAAGTGTGTACTCTTTTTTATCTCTCAAATTTTTTGAAAAAAAGTTTTTATAGAAGTTTAAAAAATATTTGAACTGTAGATGTATTTTATATAATCTGTAGATTTATTTATGTTATTTGGGTATGGGAACAGATGTTTCTTCCAGTATGTTTTACAATTTGAAAGATGTTTTGTATGTTGGTGTGGGTATTCAATTCAATTATATGCAAGCTTTTTTTCAAGGAAAAGTATGGAATCTATTTGATGAATGTGTTATGTTAATGGTATTTGATTTGAAGTTTACTGTTTATCGCAGAAACATTAAGCTTACAACTGAAAGCAACAGAGTGTGAGACTTTTTTTTAGCTGAAATGTCATTTGTTATATTAAACTCTGCAATAAAGATTTTAGTCAGTATTTTCTGCCTGTAGATTTGACTTTATTTGTGTGTTATTGTGGAAACAATTCTAATGTTTTTAAATTCTGGTCAACTTTCTGTTCGATTAAATTTCACTGCTGGAGAAAATAATGAAAAAATTTAAATGTAATATTGACCAACTTTATCAATCTAAATGTAAATGTAATCTCAGGCTTTGAGTTTTCTAAAATAAAATAATGAATCTATGTCAGAAGTGTACACCAAAAATATAAATGAATATTAAATATAAGGTCTGTTTCTGTAACATAGACACTTTATTGGAAAGACAACATACCATAAAGTCAAATTTTAATGTATGTTCAGGCTTTTGTAACAATCATGGCAGTGTGTCACCATAAATGTTTGTAATAGTACTATTACTATACTACTACAACTACAACTACAACTACTACTACCAATTATGGTATGATTTATGATGTGACATGAACTAGAGTTTCTGTGAGAAGTTAATCACTTAAAAATCAGACTAACCAAGAGTATATGGCGTTTCAATTTTTGTTTTATACATTGCTTGAACTATTGTATTCTGTTCATAATTCATACATTTGCTTTAATATATTGTCTTTTTAAACCTACAGTAGAAAAGATTTTTTCAAATATTTCTTCAGTGTGTGATGAACAAAATGGTCTCTCTCAATATTTAAGCACATTTTTTTCAGAAACTGCAGGGTCACTGGTGGACAACATTTCATGATAGAGACAACAACAAAAAAATATACAAAAAAACCCAAAAACCGAATAACAAAAGAAAAAGCCTCTCATAGCACTGAATGAATCATAACATAACATCCTTCTCTGTAATACTGTGTGCTCTGTACAACAGAGGTCAACATTTTGGCAGTGTGGCCAATTTGGGCAAAGCACAAGAATGTGCCATTAAAGTTTGAACTCTGACCCACATACAAACACACTTATAGTAACATCATCATGCAGAGCGGTCTTGTGACACATACACAACTGTAAAATATTACAGTACACTGAACACCTCAGCTAAAACACACAGACAGGAGTGAAGTGATTTCTATGCTTAAGCAGACAGATGAGAGCTGAAATTATTCTTATAATTGTGCTAAAAATTTAGAAAAATGGAGGGAAAAAAATTATTAAAATGTAGAAAGAAGCATCTGTGCCAAAGAGGGCACTGCACTGCTCAAACCGGGTTACTCAAAATATTGATTTACTGTACAATATAATCCAGATCCAGGATTCCTTCGGAAATTTTTGTTTAAAGGAGGGAAAACAAACAAGAAAGAAAGAATGAAGACAGAATGCAAAACGGAAGAAGTGTGTATACCTCACAAATGAGAATCTAGCTTCGCGTATAAAATACAAACTAATGAGAACACATTTCACGGGAGATATAAATCTGATTTGAATTTCTCTAAATTGTGTGTAAAGTATTGTGATTTTGTAGAAATGTCAACATAACTTGCATACAGATCAAGACCGCCAAGAATGTGGGCTCGTTTTTAGGAAAAGAGAAAAACTACATGTAACCACGCCGACAAGGGAAGAGGTGATGAAATATTATTTTGCTGTAGAAAAAACAATGTTTGAAGAAGGTAACAAAGCAGTCTAGTGACAATTGTGAAAACATTTGTGAAGCCCTAGAGTGGACTAAGTGTGCAGGTATAGTATGTACAGTATGTTATTAAATAATTATTTTCAAAAATATAGTACTTAACAGAATTAGAAACAGTGCAACAGATAAACCTGGCAATGATATCAGCTATATGCAAAGGTCTGAATAAACTCGCGTGGAGCTTGGATTAAAAGGCAGAAAAACCTCTCTGGCATTTAATTTTTCACCATGGCCAACATTTCTGCCATGATCACGTATTGATTTATAACAGAAAAAGATACATGGAATTTAAGTTTTCTTACAGCTGACACACCTAAGCCTGTGTTTATAATATCAATTATAATGTAAAAACAACTTATTGTTTTTTTTATGCTGTAATTTCTACATTCTTTTGCGTTAGTTAACTATATGGTATATGGATTCTGTTCTAATTAGTTTGAATAAATTGAGTGCCAATACAAATTAATTCAAACTTGAGTTTTTGAAAAAGTGACAGCTCTGATCACGGGGTCCTGTAGTGGGTATCAGGCTGTGCCATTATAAATCTACTGGGCCCCGTGATGGGCCCATCGTACCTTTGATCTGCCTTTAAATCCTCCTCTCACTCGAGGACAGAGCAGATACTGAGCAGCTTGATCCAGCCTTATATCTACATTTTATTTGCTTAGGCTACAGTACCGTGGCTGTCCCCACTGGCTTGTTTGTAGTCCAGTGGTCGTCCCTGTTTACCTAGATCCTCTTGTCTTACAAATATTTAACACTTATATCAGAAACTTTCCACACCATTCACAGGCTTCCTTGAATCCTATCCTTACCTAAGCAACGAGCAGATATTTGGCAGCATGACCGGGTCACTGAAAAATTGAGACAATGGGACAAAAGAGTTCACAACAAAGTGACAAATAACTAAGAGCAACAGATTTTATTTTTTATAAATCAGTTGTATAATTTTACTTTTTCAGGCTTTCCATTTGTCACAATCTCTCTCTCACTCACTCTCTCACACACACACACACACTCTCTCTCTCTCTCACACACACACACACTCTCTCTCTCTCTCTCACACACACACTCTCTCACACTCACACTCACACTCACACTCACACTCACACTCACACACACACACACACTTTATATTGCGTGCAGTTTATTTAATTTCCGACAGGATTCCTGAGAGTGTACATGCTTTTACACTCATATTCCGTTACTCCTGTTCACCCTCACAAACAAACAAAATCACACTTAGGAAATCTGATGTATGCATTTTAAATACCTTAGTGGTTTCTGCTGAAATAAATAGAAAAGCAAAAACAGAAACAATGCCATTCGCATTTAAGGTGCAAAGGTTTGATGTTGCATTTTATGCAGGAAGAAGGGCCCTGTACCACGAAGCGACAACTGTGGATTATCCAGATATCTTTGGGTTTCACTCTGGTATCACGAACCTGTGCTGCATGGAACAGATTAAAACCTGAAAAACTGAGTCCTCATTCCAAGAGGATTCCCACATACACAAAATAGTTAACAGTAAACTGACAAATAATTAATGGCAATATCTAATCTTATAGACCAGTAGAATTGTTTTGCTATTATCAGGTATCGAGTACTTGTAAACAGTCTGACATTACTTTTAACTTTTTATGTGCATCACATATTCATAACATTTCGTTTATCATCAGACAAAAAATAAAAAAAATACTCTTCCTGCATCTAATTACAATCTATCATTAGCCTTACTTTAATTCAGGGAGGCAGAGTTGAAGTTGCTTCATGATACAGGCTCTAGATTCAAGTGTAAAACAAGCATAACATGAAGCTCCACAGCAATTTATTAAATACTAGATATAACTATGCTTAAAACCAAAACAAAGTCAAACAACTGAGAGTGCTTTAAAGGACAGAGGAAAAAAAATGTCTGTTACATTATTTTTGCTGTTGATAATATCGCAGCTGCAGGATAATGTAATTAAAGTGCATTCTCTTTGAAATCATAAAGCTTCTTACAAGTTTAAAATTCAGTGTAAACAGACTCCGCTAAGAGTTGACATTTTTGTTTTGAGGGGGGAAAACCGGCAGCGACTTCAAGAATTTTTCCAGCGTGGAGATATAGTCTTGTGGGTGGCACCGCATGTGTGCCGCGTGTACCGACTCCTTCCACTTCCTGCTCTCCACAGCCATGCTTCTCTTCCTCCAGAGGTCAATCGTCTTTTCTATGGTTACTGGGTTGCACAGGGCATCATTCTCACTGAAGAAGAAGAGGGCTGGCGCAGTGATTGGGCTGTTGTTGAAAACCTGGATGCTTCTGTCGTAGAAGTCCGCTGTGTGGGCTTTGAAGAGCCAGAAGTAAAGCATGGCTGTGTTTTTGACGAAGCCCTCTAAACGTGGCACCAGAGTCTTACCGAGGCCTGAATAGCAGCAAGAAAGCAAATAGTTAAGACTTTATTTAGGTAAAGTTCATGTACAACTGGTTTGTGTTTAGACCAAATTAAGGGTAATGCAGTTGAGATAAGCTTCTTTTCTTGAATGGAAAAAAGCTGTGCTGTAAAAAAATCAATGTGAGGTATTGTTTTGTAATCAGTAGCAGGGCCATAGCCAGGATTTTAGAAATGCTGAGGTCACAAGTCCACCGTATACATATTTACTATAATAATTACCCGTTAAATAGTAAAGCTGCAACAATTAGTCAATAATATTTTGATAACTGGAGCCAAACAGTTCCAGCTTCTCAATTGTGGGAATTTGCTGGTTTTCCTTCTTGTACATTTAAGTAAATTGAATATCTTTGGGATTTTGGATGTTAGTTGGACAAAGCTAAATATCTGACATCATCACCTTGGGATCTGTGAAACTGCAAAGGACAGGTTTTGTTGACCAAATGATTAAGTGAGAAAATAATCAGCAGAATAAACAATAATGAAAACAATTATTAGTATTAGCACTTATTTAAAGTAATAATACAAAAACAATGTTGCCATGATACCAAAGCTTTGTTATTTTCCCCTTTTTTTTTTTTTTTTACACTTAATATTTCAAATTCACAGATTAGAACTGTATTTATTTGATTAACTAAATGATTAATCAAAAAAAAAAAAGAGATCAACCAATTATATAAATGTAAATTGAAGAATGTACAAACTGTTTGCAGCCACTGTCCCAAGGTGGGTTGGAAACAGGCTGCCACAGAAAATGTGCTGAACTCCTGACAAACTGGAGCAGTAGGTCAGCTGCCTAATGAATTATTTAAAGATCTGGCGACCGTATCCAACACAAAAGTAACCTGAGCCCCAGTGTGACTGTGGTGGATCACTCTCACTCACCTACTGCCATGTGCTCCAGAGAGCCAGCCACCAAGCTGTCATAGATGTGTCCTATCACCCTCTGGCCCACACTTGCATATTTTTCCGGTCCATGAGCAATGTGTGTGAGCATCTGGGTGAAAGTGTAGCCACCAATAGAAGAGGCATGGACCAGCACTGCCCTCCCTGAGAACTGAGGCTCCTCCAGAACTTTCAAAACTTGCAATCCGTAGTCAAGCCCCCATTGAGGCCACAGGAAATGCATTACACCGCTCTGGACCAGGAGGACATCCATTCCACGGTCCAGGTAAAGGTCCCTGTACTTGGCCACCGCCCCTGGCTGCGCACCGAGCCAGGAGAAGAAAAGAAGAAGTGGACGGGAAGCGGTGGCAGAATCTGATTGGTTTTGGCAGGGGGCAGGTGTGTGTGATGGTGAATGAGAGAGCAATGGACAGGAGGACGGATCTGCAGGGGAGGAGTCACTGAGGGGCAGAGCTGAGGGTGATGAGGATGAGATAGTGGAGGTGGAGTCTTTGGCAGGATATAATGTCTGTTCACCTGCCTGTGGCAATGGAGCGTAATAATAAGTTATGCCATTCCTGATCCTCTTGACAATGAACTTCCCTCCGGTGACTTGTTCAGACACGGTTGCATCAGTCCTAAAGAGACTAGAACAAACGACAAACAGTCAGATTTAAAAATGACTGAGGACTAAAATGGTTTACATGGCATAAGCATAAAAATGTGAAGCGTTATTTATCTGAAGAATTCGCTATATATCCTCCTGAGATCCAGAAAAAATGGGTATTGAAGTTATTTAAAGATAATATTAGTTTTATTGTAAACAGTTGTTATGATACACACAAATACCGGTTACTTTTGACATGCTTCATAAATGTCCACCCATCACAGCCTACTCCTTTCACTGATTATAGCCTCACTTGGCAGGATCTTTAATGCACATGCCAATATTGATACATACAGTGGGGTCAAAAAGTCTAAGACCACTTCCCCATTCATTCATTCACTAGAGATTCTTAAACTAAGTGCTCTTTCTCAGTCTGTGCACTTGGGCGACACAACTGAAATGTTTCCTACAGATAATAAAATGGTGCTTAATGACAGATCCACACTGCTTCATTTACATTTGGACCATCTCAGTTACTAATACTAATGTTTTTATTCATCTGATGAACTTACAGTCTGATATTTCACTAACCGTGAAATCAGGAAGAATGACATCATAATCTGATTTTGGATGTTTGTGCCCCCACCCCCCGCGGGTTGCTATCTTGTCGGAAAAAAGGAGGAGAGGTGGATCAAACTGCCAGGACTCTATAACACACTTTCATCACGCACCCCCAAAGTGAAACTACAGCAATTTAAACGCATTACCGGCTCTCAGGAGGATAGCTACACCATAGCATCACCTGGCATATTTTATGTTCATGCAACTTCCGCAAAACAGGTCAGAAGCAGATCATTCGTCATTCAGTTACCCTGAGAGCAGCAGGTTTCCCATTCTGGCAGGGGAATACGTCCGGGAGCGCCCTGGTGGTCTGAAAAATTGACTCCGGATGGTCAGTCAGTTCTGCCACGGTGTCGGGTCCACGAAGCAACACGCAGCCCTGGATGTTGGCTAAAATTAAAGAGGAACTGACGACGAGAGCCCGCCTCCGTTCCGCCGGCTATCACACTCTTGCAGTTCTCTGTGAACGCGCAATTTGCCACTGCGACTGATGCGACGCTCGCTCCCGTCAGATTAACTCATGAATTAACGCAGGCAGAAATTTCTCAGACAAGATCATGGAGCAACAATAATGTGACATTAATCTTAATGATTTTAGCAGAATTGGAATTCATTAAACATTTTATTTGTGATAGGTAAAGAGTTAAATAGACCTCATTCAGCCTAGCGATGTATTTGTTGATATTGCTGCAAACAGATCTTATCTCTGAAACGGTTATTTATAGTTCAAAGGATCTGAGAACAAGCTTCCGCCGTGAGGATAGTCACACTGGCTGAAGTCTATTTGCTTTGACCTACTAATGAAACGAGTGCAAGACATTTCAGTGCCACAAGATGGAGCCAGAGACTGAAAAAGCAGGTTGGTCTTCAGAAAGACAAGAACTTTACTACCTCAGTATGAAGAGCACGCTGATGAATATGTGTATTGTAACGTGTATAACTGACAGTGATTACTTAGAAACAGTAATATGAATTTCGGGGATATCCAGTCTCTCCTAAAGAGACTCGGTCACGTTGTGTTCATGCTCCTAATATTAAATCCAACCTCAAACAATGCAGATTTATCTAAACTGTGACCCTGCAAACCATTTCCAGTTTTTCAATTTAGGGTCAGAATGTTTGTAAGCAAAAAAATAAACTGAATGTAAACCAGAACTCATACATGAGAAAATTAAACTGTAAACTAGACCACTGAACTGTGAGTGAAAGAATTGACTCATGAAAGCAAAGGATCCAAAAGTGAAAGAATACTAGAAGATGTCAGTTTCACAGATGAATCAGTTAGACATACAGTGCATTCAGAAAGCTTTCAAATTGTTATGTTTCGTTACATCTAAATTCATTTTTTTCCTGCATCAATCAAATTCAATACTTGTTTTAATTTTCAGTTTTCCCTTTTTAATTCATTTCTAAAATTCTAAATTCTCTCTTGTGTGAAGGGGTCTGAATACTTTCTGAATGCCCTGTATGGTTATTAGGCTCATGTAAGTGTGTGAAGCTGTTTTTCCACTTTTCCCCTGCATGATTCTGCATGAAGCTGAGGCAGCAATGTTTCTGAAAAATGTTTCAGTTCAGAGACTTTATGCTCAGAGTCAAACACTGTGTCTTATCAGTCTGAAAACATATCAGATGGAAACACATTTATTAGAAATATGTGATTGGGCATACATAATTAGATCCATGTTAACTGTTGGTCTGATTAAGAATAGAAGCATAAAACAACCTTCATCATTCAGCATTTGTGGCCCTTTTCCTATTTACCTGCATGGACACTCTTGCAGAGAGGAAGAGTCTATTGTCTTACACCTGTAAAAAAATAAAAAATAAAAAAAATAATGTAAGATGAGACAAATCATCTTATTCCACACTGTCTGACAGCATTTCAGTATATATTATGTGTCATCTGGTTCTAGCTCTTCACTGAAGCTACAATGCAAAGTGAAATATTCAAACTCAGGAGCCCATGTTTTTCATGGCTGCACTATTCCACCTTAAAAAAATATTCTAGAAGTCTCATTCCTCATTTTATAGACATTTCCTCAGAATTAAGCCTGCTGCATTTGAGATTATTGCAAACTTTGGGATCTCCACTAGCATTTAAAATAAAGTTATGTGGGTTTGTATAAAGTCTGGCTGCACGGCATGAATTCACTGTCTGTCCGATACATGGTTCGGTTGGGTTTAAGATGAATTATAATCTTAAATCTGATTTATGTTATTTGCATTACACTTACAATTACGTTACATTTTTCATTATGCCTTTGAAAACACAGAAACGTTTTTTTTTCTGATGCCACCATCAGGTCATCGCAGTGTAGCTGTAAATGTGAACCATGGTTGTCATGACAGTGTTGTGTGTAGGTGACCGTAAAATGGCTGTCACAGTTGTGATCCGATCTTTCCATTCTTTCACATACAGGCAGCAGAGGCAGTTTTAGGTCATCTCAAGCGCTCTCACTTTCTCTTTTTTCCCCTCGTCTTTCTCTGGGTCTGTTTTCTGCAGCCATTTGCGTTGTCCCCCACCAACACACACACTACTTTATATTTTGACCTTCGGCAGTACTTATTTAGTATATTTATTTTTGGGTTTGTCAGAATTCTCTGAGTGCATTCAGATGCATGTTATTGTTATGTCCTGTGTGTGTGTGTGTGTGTGTGTGTGTGTGTGTGTATATATATATATACACACACACACACACACACATAGCGATAGATAGATAGATAGACAGACAGACAGACAGACAGACAGACAGACAGACAGACAGACAGACAGACAGACAGACAGACAGACAGACAGACAGACAGACAGATAGATAGATAGATAGATAGATAGATAGATAGATAGATAGATAGATAGATAGATAGATAGATAGATAGATAGATAGATGGATAGATAACTGCAGAAAATAGACCCAGGGGAACTGCAGAGATGTGTAAAAATTCTCCAAATAACTTCTTGTGGTTTGATCCTTTCACATTATGAGTAGTGAACTGATCCATTGTTAACATAAAAATATATTACAGCAGCTTTAATTTCTCTGGTTTGCACGTTAACAGAAAAAGCCTTAGATTTTCTTTGCCTGGCTCAGCATGGTCACTTTCAGGCTCAGTCAGGCAGAAAAATGTGAGTCCCACAAAAACACAACCCTTTAAGCTCACTAGGCCATGTGCCTGTGTTACCCTCAACACTAGCTCCCCCTCACTACCCTACACCCCTTTTCTCCAGTCTTATGTCATCCTCTTTAACATCCCCCCTCATCCCTGCCGATTCTCTATACATCCCCCTCATCAAACCTCTCCCTCCCAGGCAAAGAAAGCCTCCATCACTCTCTTCTGACCCTTCCTGCAAAGCAGCAAGACCCTCTCACCCATTTCCCCTCCTCAGCACCTCAGACCACCCCCCTATTGCTGCCACACAAACCCCTGGCCTTTCCTTTTCACATTGTTTCTCCCTGGCCCCTATTGTCCAAGCAAAGAGAGAAAGTTGGGAGGGAGTGGAGGGAGAGAAGAAAAAGAGGAGAGGAGGGGGGAGAGGGGAGAATGTGCCCTCTCTGTTCTCTGGGCAGGACAAGTCCACCCACATCAGGGTGTGGAAATTCCGTTGCAGCTTCCTGCTTTTTCTCCCAGTGTTTCCCTTTTTACTCCTCTCACTCATCTCTGTCATATTTTCTCCTGGCATCATGTGCCTTCCTAACTTTTCACGCATTGGAGGGCATTACACCAAGCATGTCTGGGGCATTAAAAAAAAGTGAGTTTGTGTGAGCAGGTGGCAACAATGCCATTTAAGGCTAAATGGTCAAAACACAACCGTTTAAAATGCAGATATTGATGCTTTTTTAAAAAGCCACAATATTAGGAGTAAGAATATGACCGGAACCAACTCCAGGAAACATGCGGAAATTTGCAGTTTTACGGTCACTTAGGCTTGGAAGGCGTAGCAAATCATTATAAACCAAGAGCAAAACAGTCTGGAGTTATGCTTTTCTCCACCACATTTTCTCATCTGTTCTTCAATCGTATAAAAACCTGAAAAACATTCTAAAACTTACTTTTTTACGACACTTGTAAATTTTTGTTTGATTTGCTGGTAACTGTACATTATGGATCTTGATGAAGCTACGTAAGCATTCACTTAGAACCATGTCTCAGCACCTGGTGAGTCTATACCCAACATTCATTCTTTAAAAAAAACATTAAGCTGCTGTAATCGATGTTTTTATCGGTTACAGCAGCTTAAAAATTATGCAATACCAATTTACCCAAAAACAAGAAAGTAGCATTAAGGGTGACACAACGTGGCATGGTCATCTACCATTTCTTTATCTCTCTGCTTGCTTTTCCATCCATCATCATCCATCTTTCACCCTTCTCCATGTGAGGGCTGCGATTTGCATTCATAACATGCTTAGAGGCTGTTGTAGCTCATGTGTGACACCTGTCGTCTCCATCAATCTTCCTTACTGGTATGGGAACCAAGTTAAATCCCCAGTAGGTGCTCGTAGCTGATGTATTAACATACATTCATTAATTACAGATGGCAAGCGTACATCTCACTGGACCCAAACATCTGCACCATAGTCCTATTTGACACTTCCAGCTGTCATTTTGTATTTTAATCACTCGGCTATATTGGTAATTTAGGTGTTGTACCATAGGCACAAATAATTCTTGTTTCTCACCGGTTTGCAGGTGTCAGATAAAACTTTATAACTGACCATGCGAGGTATATTAAACTAAAGGAAACCATATTAACAGAACTTCTGCTTCATGACACATTATCAGTTAATTCTCACTGTTAAAATGAACCTAACGATGGGTTAATCTTACTACTGCTCTGTTAAAAAGTGACAGGTTAAGCAGATAAATGACCACTTGAATAAGTGTGATAAAACAATATTACCTCTCTCTTTGAGCTCATTGTTTTGGTTTTATGGCTTTAAACTTTGTCATTTCAGTTCAGTCTCAGGGCTCTCACTGGTGTCGTTTCCAGATGGAGCAACTGCTCCCCAGCACTAAACAGCAGACAGCGACTAGCTAGGAATATAAGGAGAATCTGGAGGCTAATAGAACAAACAAATAGAGCTTCTGGTAAGTTCTGAATACAGATTGAGCTATCTCACTCTCAGACACACACACACTCTCAGACACACTCTCTCTCTCTCACACACACACACACGCACACAAACACACACACACACACAATTGGTATGTATTGTCCACTAGGCAGGGTGAATGCCTGCACTCAGCCAATACATAGCAGACTGCCTCCACCAAATCCACTCTAATGAAGTGAGCTGACAGTTTGCCTCATGTGAGGTCTAAACTGAGCATTCACATTCACAAATGATTCATCAGTGCCATATACTTCAGTGCTGTGAATACCCAAACAAAGTGAAGATGGCACATTATTTATCCCACAGCCTTTCCGTGTATCTCTCAAGTAAATGCAGATGATTTGTCCACCAAGGTCATCTCTGATCCTCATCTAACAACCTTAATCAGCCATATCAAATCTGCGGGGAAAGCTGTCTGAGAACACATTCACAAAAACACACACAATAACTCACTCACACACACACGTACGCATGCACACACACACACACACATTCAGTAGGCTTAAAGTACACATCCTAGCAGCACTTTACTCGAAACATACACAGGGACGTTGTGTTGCATGTTAAGAGTTACCAAGTGCGTATTGGATTTCTCCCCCAGTCAGATTGTCTTTATGGATTTTTGCAAAGGTCATATTTACACCATGACTGCAGCAGTTCCATATATTAAGGCCTGCGATGATGACATGTCTCACTCTGCTTTTAAGTTTGGGAATTACAGCATATAGTCTGTATAAGGTGAAATGTTATCAACAAATATTTATAGATGTTAACATAATAGTGGCTGAAAGGCATGCAATAACACTGCAGTGAGACACACCTGTACAAAATCATGGTTTTCAAAATAAAAGCTAAATATATCAAAGTAAAAAACCTGTTGTAAGAGGACTAACTGTTTTAGTGGCTAAAGGTTATTGGGTCTTGACCTTGCTGGCACTATAAAAAGACCCTGGGCGGAACCATAAGGTTGGCAGAGCCAATAAACTATTGATAGAGTCCATTGTTTTTTTTCCTTTTACCCCCAGACAAAGAAACTTTCTTTGACCTTCACAATCTGCCATTGTCTGGCACTTTCCGTGTGCTGGAGCCAGCAGACTGTACAAGGAGAGGACATCAGTATGAAGTCACACACACACACACACACACACACACACAAACACAAAGACACATGCACTGGTTTCTTAGTATTCTCTAAGGGATGCCGATCTGCTTCACAGTGTCCTCAAGACGCCAGCCAGACCTGAGAAAGCACGAAAATTCCCTTTAACACACTGAAGTCCACTGCCTTTAGTCACACTGATAGCACAGGAATATGTGTAAAAGTGCATGATACAGTCTGCAGAGGTTATCTTGAATGAGAACTGTTTTCAGTATAGCAATAGGATACTGGACTGCTTTGAAGAGCTGGAGTAAACGCTAAATAATTTATCTAAAATAATCTATTGTCATTAGACCTAAAATTAGCAATCTTTATCAATCATTTTAAATTAATAAAACATAACAGAACAGAAAAATGCAAATTACAATTTCCCAGAGCACAAGCGATGTCTTCACATGTCTTAATTTGTCCGACCAACAGTCCAAAACTCAAAATATTCAGTTTACTATCAAACATTTGACACAATTACATTTGATGAGCTATGTGATGCACTAGTAAAGAAATGCATCTGTACGGATCACGACAACCTAAGTATATCATGTATTTTAAATATTTCACTGTCTTCCAGTCAAGTTCTACCAAGATAAGATTACATTTTTTTTTTTTTTTTTAATTGTTCGCCCTCCGTTATGAAATATATTTGTATTACTGCAAAAGCAAAATGAAAAACTACAGGAAAATCGAGAACAGTATTCGGATATGAATAAATAAAGACCGCCATCTTTAATTAGAGCACACATGCTTGTCTGTTGTTAAAACTGTCCTCTGGCACAGTTTAAAGATCAGCTTACTGTGTCCCAAATTCATAACTTCATAGGACTGAAATATTACTATCTGTCCTGAGATCAGAACAGGGGTATTTTACCTCTCATATCCCTCACTGCCATTAAGTGAAGCATGCAGGCTCGAAAGAAGCGTTTATGTCTACAGTTATTACAAAAGTGATTAGATTTCTTATATGGCATGAAACCAGGCTTTAAATAAACCCTGTACAATATCTACTGTCTCTAATAATGTTTTAAATTCTTAAAGTATTAAAGCTCTTAAAGACTGAGCATGTTCCTTATCCAGTTCAGTTTAGTGTGGGGGATACCTTTCTGTGCCATTTCCATATTAGCATATTGCAGTCTTGACTAGTTTTGAAGGTCAGAATAATGGTGTATGTATTTCAGGTGGTGAGGATATACATCCTCAGATATTGTGTCCAATCTAAATCCAGTTATTCTGCATAAAAACAGTGGAAGAACGAGCCATGTGGCAAGGAAACTATTCTTTTATCTCACTAGGGTAAAAGTAAAGGTGGTAAGAATAGCAAGGAGAGTCAAGATCAAATATGTTATTAAGGTGATCTTTCCTGCGCCGATGGGACTGAGCTCAGCTGGGGAGGGGGCTGCATCATAGGCAGGACTGCACAGACACTGTTCAGGAAATTATGTTTCCTTGGGCTGGGAGTTCGCTGATTGTTTCTATATTTGGGAAATTCCTGAGGATCATAAAGGCAAAGATCTGGGGAATGTTGTGCTAAAGTTAATGCACAATAGTAACACCCTCTGATTGGACACCTTAGATGTCAGCAGAGATAAGTCAGTGACGCCAGTTGACAAAATAATGTTTCAAAACTGTGTCAAAGGTGAGTGTCTTCAACCTCATGTACACTTTGTATAAGGCAGGAGATTGCGTGAGTTGTTCAGTGCCTGGGTGGGGTGGGATGGAAACCAATAATACAGATGCTTTAAAGGGGAACTTGAGGGTATAGCAAATTACATAATTACATAATTACATTCAGTCATATTGGACAAATCTGTGCCTCCTGATTAATGTCCAATGCCAGTATTCAGTGCCAAGACAGGAAGTAGTGTGCATGATTTGTAACCATGGCAGATAGAAAGTGTTCAGAAGTTGGGGTGGTAAGTGGGAAAATCATCCTAATTTGACATTCCTTTCTGGTGACAGGGTTGAGGTTTAGCTAATTATTTTTTATTGGTTATGGTAATGGTGTACAAACCAAATTATCTAGGGATGCGGCAAAATTGATAAAAAAAAAAAAAAGAAAAAAAGAGAGGTCCAACAGAACAAGAAACACCCCAGGTTAGCAAAACAGCACCATTATTACCCAAAACTGACTTCCTGGTTCAATGATACTTGCCAAAGTTTTCCTGTGCAATGAGTGATTATTACTGACATTTCAGGCGGCTAACTGGCTGTATATCCAAATAAAGTTGTAATCTGGTTAAACCTTTGGTTTATTTACAGCCTCTGTTACTCTTCTGCTCATGTGTGTTTGCCTTCACTTCTCCTTTTCCAATACTGACAGTCGACACTGGTTTCTTTCAGCCATGACTGATTTGTAACCATAATCAAGTAATTATTTGAAACCAAACCAAGTCTTTTTTTGGTGCCTACAGCTTATCACTAATGAAGTAAGATCAGACAACAATTCTTTTTGCAGCAGTTGTAAAAGTAACAGTTTTGGAAGACAGTGACAAGTGATGTTGTCCTGCTGATAGGTTTATCAGATCAAAAAAATACTTAAATGTGTCATTCTGGAGGGCAATTACTAACTATGAATTGTGCTGTTTAATTTGGAGGACCTCTTGCTGCAGATTTCAACAATTACCCTGATGAGCACAATTCATTTTAACCTCTAGAGAACTATGTAATAAACCAGTACTATCCTTGACATAAACTTAGCATATGAGTTGTATTAAGTCTAATTATAGCACTTGAAAACAGCTGCATTCATATCTTACAAGCTTGTAGCTTGTGTATGTGTGCACATGCAGGTGTGCATGGGCTATGTATGTAATATTCAGCATGTGTGTTTGCATAAGCCATTGTCATCTGACACCCAACTCTGTTCACCAGTGTCCACAGCACTGGGTGATCTCCGCTAATGAACAATTTGCTCAGTGAGGTGTGACCACAGGCATTGTGATGGAAGCCACATAGTGGACTACTGATGCAGTGAGCGAGATAGATAGAGACAAATACAGAGAGAGAGAGAGAGCGAGAGAGAGAGAGAGAGAGGGAGGGAGAGAGAGAGAGGGAGGGAGACTGGAACTCAATTCCACACAGCAGACAAACCTACACAGGCTCAGAAAGACGGTCTCTCCTGCAGCACTCACACACACTCTCACCACTGGCTGTGGATTCTCCATCTTATTCCATACATCTGTAGGTAAGCAGCTCACATGTTTTCCTAGTTGTGCATCTCTCTCTTTCTGTATCTGTTTAATCAGCTGGTCTGTATCTAGATATGAGGGATGTGTAGGTCTGACTTCCATATACATGCTGTTACATGCTGAGACACGCACTCTAGCTGCAGCTATAGGTAAACACACTGACACACACACACACAAACATACCGTATTTCATCAAATACATGGGGGCTTGTGGCTGATGTTGGTGTATTGATATTCATTAAAACCAGGATTAAGGAGATCAGAAGGAACCATTTAGTGGTAAATCTATAAGCAAGTAAGCAATGTGTATGCCGGTGGGTGTATAAATGAGAGTGTGTGTGTCTGTCAGTGTGTAATTTGGGTACATCTTATGTATTAATTTGAATAATATTCATGAATATCTGTCTTGGACATCCTTGTGTTTACTACAGAGGCATGTACAGAATATATGCATGTTTGTGTGTATGTGTGTGTGTTAAGGTGATAGCAAACCAGCAAATGCTCTTGCAAGCATGGATGGGAATGTTTGTGTGTGTGTGTGTGACTGACTGCCTATTTGCATATGAGTGCAGCACACTCCTGCAAGCGGAACAGCGGAGTCCAAAAGGTGCTCAAATCCCGGGGATTAGCAAGACGTCTTTGGCTTCAGCTGTCACCATGGCAAAGGCAGCCGGTGGAACGCCTGTGTTTGAGAGCGTCCTTTATAAATCGGCAGGTTTACTGCATTCATCAGCTCTAGGGCTAACACAAGCATTAGCCCAGCACAATTAATGTCATTCTAAAGCGTGGGGGATATGTTTCACGAGTGGTCAAGGTGGGATTTTAAAGAGATGGAGTATAAGAGGCGTGAAATACGTTTGGAGAACCAAACTAATCTGTGTAAAAATAAAAAAAAAGACATTTGAGTGAATCAACAAGTTTTCCCCGAAAAATGCAACTAAAGAAGATGTTATAAACTGTGCTGGTAATGTTGTGATGGCATTTCTAAGAATCACTAGAGGAAAGCCCACAGATTAGAGCAGAAAGGGATTAGTCTTGTTTGTAAATAGCATGACTCAGGATGCTGTTTGGTTGTTTAACCAACAGGACATACTGTATGTAACCTGCTGGAGTCCTGCCTGTGATGCCGCTCATTTGGACTCATGGCCAGAGGTTTGGTTTTACTTGGACATGAGAGCAGCTCTCATTGTAGTCAATATTGCCCATGGACTATTGACTATAGGTCAAGCTGCCTCACAACTCACAAGTTAGTCATGGAAAAATTATGTCAACCAATGAATTATGGAGTTTACGTAAAAAGGGATTAATGAAACACATCTAGCACTAGCTGCACAGGTAAAGAATAAAACTGACTTGCACATAAGTGGACTTGCAATTTTCCACTTGAAACTTTGACATTTGGGAGCCTTATTCAGTTTCTGCCTTAGAGTTTGAAGAGAAGATAGATACCACTCTCATATCTCCCTGGTAAACACAAGACTACAGCCAGCAGCCGCTTGACTTAGCATGAAGACTGGAAACAGGGGGAAACAGGTAGCCGGGTTCTGCCAAAAGATGACAAAATATACCAGCACCTCTAAAGCTCACGAATTAACACATTAGTTACTTGTATGTTGAATTTGTACAAAAACAAAGTGTAAAAACAACAAGTTGCAGTTTCTATTTAATGATGCAGTAACTTCCCCAAGTCTTGCCATCACCTTGACGTAAACAAACACACGGGGGGAGTTGGTGCAAAAGCAATATCACTGAATACAAGATATGAGCATCAACTATGAAAATAGGATACTCTAAAAATTATTTCACTCACCAGCAAGCTGACTGATTCATTTTAAATTGCAATATTGATATGGCATGAAATATTTAATCAATGTTTATGGGGACGCTGAAAACACAGTGTTCATCCATAACGGTGAAATGCACCAACCGTAAAATGAATCCGTGAACTTGAAAGAAAACAAATAAGGTCTCAAATATAGGGATTTTTTTTATTATGATGATTACCACCTAGGAAGATTAATTTTATCTTGTATATCTTTGCCGAATTGCCACAATAATTTGCTATCACCATAACCACAACTACTGTAGATGATAAGATGGATAGACAGATACCTACCTGCTACACTAAGCTTTCTAACACTTTATAAAGCCCTTCCAATGCGCTGCTTTATGCAGAATAAATCCCTGCTGGATTAAAGCGGCCAGTCAGATTGAATCTGTGCTGTATTGACATCCCTGTGTAGAGTCAAAGTCAGGAGAGGACAACAGGAAAAAGCCATACGTTGACTCCTTAGATGGGAGATAGATCCCATGGTGTTAAAGGGCTGCAATCGAAAACACAGGGCTAAACAGCACGTGGGAGGATGCACATGTAAATGCATGGCCACATGCAAGTGCACCAGCATATAACCATGGATTTAATGCTAGGGTAAAAACTAGTGGTTGTAAATATGCACACCCACAGAGCAGGAAAAAAAACAGTGGCCATTTGCAGGAAGGTAAATTACTCCATTATCCTGGACTGTGTCATTGATCCTCAGGCCTTTCCATGCTTATAGCGGGTTTGTTAAAATAGTAATGACATTGGCCACAGTCAATTCGTCTCCATTTGTGACTCCCCTCAGTGTAGAGCCTCTCCATTTCAATCACTCAGGAGAGACACACACCTCTCAGTCACTACGTTACTCTTTTGCCTCTCCTTTTATAGCCTACTCTTTTCTTTCCCTCTCATCTCACTTTCATTGTCAGAGACTGCAGTTATGCCTTTCTCTTTTTCATTAGCTTTAGTACAGTGGCCTTATTATGTTCACACAGAGGGGCTTGTAAACATTGCCATCAGATTAATTTGGAAGACAGAATTTTCCATAGGGTAATATGGTACAGCAGGTTGAAGACTGATTGAGAACAAGATGGCTGATGGCCCTGAGAGAAGAGATTGAGTGCGGGCTTCTCTCACTCACACACAAACACACACACAGACTAAATTGAAAGTCAGGAGTCTGTTTACAGAGTTAATAAAAGGAGGCTCTGGCAACAACTAAAATGAGCATTAGGGAGACTGCTGCAGAGTTTACTCTCCTGGACTAAGAATGCCACAACTGAATGTCAATATGGGGGGTTTTGTCTCTCTCTCTCTCCTCTCCTGCCCTTGTCTTTTGCTCTCTGCCCTTCTTTGCTGCTTCTCCTTCTGTTTCTCTATCTCTGCTCCATTGAGCACACTACAGTGGCAGGCCCCCGTCTTTGTCGGGAGCAGTGAGACAAAACGCCAGCAAAATAATAGAGGGGACTTGTAAAATTCCCCACAGACACTTTTTATATTTCCTTTCAACTTTCTCCGCTGCCTGTCAAACCAGACTATGCCTTTGCTAACAGACATGTATTTGATGTGGTGATAAGTGGTGACAAGTAAGTTACAGGCCCAATCTGGAAAGTTAGTGGAGTGGTTTTAGATTCATTATTGGCTACTTATCTTAAAATTTCTTTATTAATGAAACTGGTTCATGCAGTTCTGGACAGAGGTACTGACAAAGCGACAGATTAGCACTGTTGTGTTTTAGTGTCTGTCAGCTCACTGTTTCGTTTTTTTGGTCCACAGCTGTAATGTCTGAGTCCCTCAGGCAGCTCTAAAAAAGCTCTAAAAAAACCCACCATGACCTTGGGTGTATAAATAAGCCACTATTTGCTAACAGGTTTGCCATATCAACTTTAAAGGTTATTCTACGGTTGTGTTATTTACAGAGGTTGATTCCACTGACCGCAAGTGACCAAAAAATTACTGCAGGTTAAAAAAAGCTCTGTAGACCACCGCCACTGCGACTAGATGTCGCACTACAACACCAGCGTCCACAAAAAACAAAACAAAACAAATGCTTCGTCCAGCCATCACAACACAATCTAACCACATCCTTTTTATATACAGTCTATGTCCACAGCCGTTATCCCACGCTAGCATTGCCGTGATATGCTCGACAGCGATGCTAAAAGTTAGCCAGCTAGCGATAGCAACATTTGCCAAACACATTGTTAATATGTGAGCCAACGTTAACATGCCAACAGTAGCCGGTCACTAATGAAAACAGACGTGCAACATTATGTAGTCATCAAGTTACTTACACATGGAAGAGAAGAAAAGCCAGTTTGGAGTCAAGCCGGAGCCCTTTAGCAGCTAGCAGGGCTCTCCATCACGGTAACGCCAGATCAGTATCTGCTTGGCCTGGGGAAGAAATTCAGCCTTGGACTTGGACCACACGAGTGACATTGAAGAAACCGGTAAAAATCTTTAAAAACTTTATGGATGTTTTCACGGTCCACAGGCTGACCAGGTAGTCCCTATGGCCAGTCAGCCTTTGCGCTGGTCTTATTGTCTGAGGCATTTTAGACGAGAACGTGTTTTTTTAGTGGAGGAAATTCTCGAAGGCCGTTTTCACCTGAACGCAGCTTATTGCAACGTGTCATCTCACCTGTGGGCGGTCCATAGAGGGGTGGTCCCCGTGTGTTTACAAAATTAGGGAGGGCCAACAGGACTCACATGCACTAACATGCACTAACATGCACATGTACATGCACTGACACGTATGCGCTGCCAGACCTTATACGAAAACAAGGCATACAGACGCCATTAGTCCACTATATCTTTACATAGAAATTAGTTATTGCTGGTATATTACAGTTTAAACTCTCCTTTACAGAACCTTTAACTGTATAGGGAAATACACCATAGATAAATGTATATTTCCATAATTGATCAACTAAATGATGATTATGATCAAATCAGAGCTGCATTAAATTTCTAACTTTCTGGAGCTGGAAGACTAAAAAACTGATATTTTTAAGAAAAGGTGCTTGCACATCTCCCATGACAAGATGAGTCAGCCATCACCAAAATAGCATCTGGTATGCTACTTGAGTCAAATCAAAAACAAAGTAAGAATGGAAATTCTTCTACTTGCCTCAGTGATGGGAAAGTGTGCTCTGAATTCTGCCCAAAATTTGGTTGTGTTTAAAACATAAGGAGATATAGTACCTATAAATGTCATTCTGACTGAGGGACTCTGCAATCATACACTTACTGTAAAAACATGTAGTGAGATAAAAGAAGATATACTGTGAAGTGGAGTAAGCGCTTTGTACTCTACATGAGTTTCCTTTTCCCACACTAGATGATACTGAACGAATGTGATACAGAAGTGAAATGTGAGAATGTTAGCGAAAATAAATTATACATGATCCCTGCTGTCTAAATAATTGATCAGTTATGCATCAGATCATCAAAAAGGCCATTAAGGATAAAAAAATTACTTGCTCCAAGCTTCACAACTAATTAGAATGTTTCTATACACAATAAAATGGACTTCATTCCTCAACAAGTCACATTTCCCTTATTGGCCTTTCAGTAATCCTTCAGAAATTGCTTGCTAAATGTCTTGAAGAAGCCAGCAAAGTGCGTGTGCATCAGAGTGTGCACCTACTACAGAACAGTACAAGTGGGCGAGCAAGTACACAATTTGCGCTAACGTGCAGAGATGCAGAGATTCATCGACAGTCCTATCTCTGCACGCAAGAAATGTGACCATGTGTGGGTTGGTTGGTGCAAGCTTGAACACACAGGCATCTAAAAACAACCTCACCTCATTGGAAAATTATTTTCATGCTGTTCAGTCAAAACGCTAAAACTGGGGAGTGTGTGGGAAGTTCCATATTTGACCCCCTCCAGTAGTCTTCATATCTCAGGGTCCAACTGTGTATCCAGGATGGTTTCATCCCTCCAGGCGGGAACATAAGGGGAGATGGCAGGTCAAGTCCCTGCTCTCCTGATCAGCGAGAACAAGCCTGTGACTCTTATGGCAGCGGCTGATTGATCTCCTGTGTGCATACAAAAGAAAATAGCAAGAACTTGAAAGAGCAGAGTGAACTGGCATGGATTACGGAAAAAAGTGAGTCGTAAAAAAAACTTGTCAGAGAGAAGAACAGAAGCTGACGATGAAGAAAACGTGTGAAATATTATTCATAAAGAGAATGAGAGCATGATAGAGACTGGAGAGAACTTCACTGTGATAGTGGTTCTCTGTGAATATTGATGTTTTTTTGTTTTTTTTACTCCCACACTAACAGATCTTTCTCCCTCCGCTTTAAGGAACAAATAAATCTGAGATTGAAAGAGAGCAAGGCCAAAGCTGGGGGGCAGTGGAAGGGGGAGTTAAGTACAGCTAAAGCATACAGGTTGTTGTTCTCGCAGGGGAAATTCCTTTGGTGCTCCGCTCTTTTCACTGAGGCAACAGGCTAGTGACTTTGAACCACTTGGTGCTCCACAAAAGAAAAAAAAGGTCCGTCTATTCTTATGTTGGCAACCCCAGACCCTAATTCTTCCCTAACCTCCCCCAACCCAAGTCTCATGCACATTATTTCTTGACTACTCCTCGCTGAATAGCATACATATGGATGGAAGTTCTTTCTCTAATTGGTCAGTCCGTGTGGCCGCCCAACCACTGCGACACAGCATGTGCGTGAGCAACAGCATGACATAAATACTGACCACCACATCTAACAGGACACCACTAATTACAGGGTGTCCATATTACTTAAGTTCTTGTTGTGATTTGTGGTGGGTGACATTTTTTTTAGCCGGCTAACTTCAGCAGTTGCTCGTATTGGGTGGCATAGTTTCTATACTTGATTTATTTTACGGTCTGGAAAACAGGTCACACTCTAAGGAGCTGAAGCTCGGCCTTCCAAAAATGTTCAGTGAAAAGAAAAATGAACAGATGCAAATTCTATCAAGTCTTCGTCAACTCAAATTCAGCTGTACAAGAGTGGATGAAAAGTGTGTCACTCAGTGTCCTGTTTTGTGCTTGTCTTTTAGGCCGTTTTGCCAGAGAGCCAGCCAAACCCGCCTCAGGGAGCAGGAGAATGGAGAACAACATGTGACCGATCCGTGCGCCTCTGTCGACAGCATGCTTCGCCTCCACCGGACCTTGGTGCTCTGCTTCTGGTGTTTTTTGCTACTTCACAGGCAGGCTGTGGCTGACGAAGAGGCCTTCTGGGGACCAACACCACCAAGAGAAAACCCACCTGAAAATAAGTCAAGATGGTTTTGGACCCCGTCTCTGCCAAAGATCCCATCCTTTCCCTCACTGCCGTTCAGTATCCCTTTTTATGGAAGCTCGGACAGTAACAACGAGGCTGCTGCGTCGACCACAACCGCCAAGGTGCTGACAGAACCAATCAATCACTTCCAAGACTCGGGTTCAGGGGAAGGGAGCAATTCTGAGGCATCTGAACCATCCACCACTTCAACCCAGGGGCTTCTAACCAGCGTGACAAAGATAAGAGCTGAATCACTTCCCACGGGGACATCAGATTCTCCACACAGCAGCATAGCGCAGACCGACAATGATACTCTTGTTTCAGACTCCCACTCTCCCACAAGCAGCTCTATCAGAAGCACTCTGTTCACCAACAGTCCCACCAGCACAAACGCTCCTGAACAAAATGCAACACATACCAGCCCACCACAGGGTACCACACAAGCAGCTGGACCCAGCATGGGTGCCACTGCACAACACCTCCCAAAGGAACACACTGATAAAGAGGTGGCTGAAGATTTTACAGGAAAGATCTCTTCGACGATAGCACCAGAAACTACAGTTCCCACTGCCTTGACATGGGCATCAGCCCAGTCCACCACAACAAACCCAGGACTGGTAGAGACCACACTGACCAGCAGACTCCCTCTGAGGTCTGTTACTCCCACTACGTCCTCAGAAACCACATTTGTCCGAAAACCCCAAAGCTCAACTGTCAGTGTTCCCCTCCGAACTGGAGAGGCCGCAATGGCAGAAACTCAACCCACTCAGAGTGAGACTGACCCGAGTTTCTCCGAGGCCAGGTCGGGGCCCACGGAGGAACAGTGGGGGGTAATCACGACTGCCATGGGCATTGATCACAGACAAGCACTGGAATCCATAACAAGCACAGCTCAGAGCCAAAGGGTTAACTTCCCAATCGCAGGAGGTAAGCAAACTTAAACAAATCAATATTTGCTGGAATGACTCAATAGATGTGATCAATCATGTGCAGGCAGGTCTTAAGTGTTCAATAGATGTCTGTCGAAGGGCTGCAGACAGTTCAGCGTGATCAGTGACATTTCTGACATGGTAAATAGACAAAGGTCTGTGATTAGCATAAATCCAGATCCTGTTGAAAACCTGTCAACGCTCAGTCTGGAATCAACATTAACACGACAGGACTGATGAGTTATATGTGGAAATTTAGCTTGTAGAGCACATCACTGCTCAAAGTACTTATCTTGTGGATACATATATCACAGCGAAATGGCAGCCTGCAGAAATGGAAGTTGCTCCACGATGCAGTAATCAAAAGTGTTTGAACCGTCTACCACAGAATGTGACATCTTTATTGTATTTCCAAAGCGTGAATCTCTCCAACTTTGTATAGTGGAGACTAAATCATCAGAATCTGGTTTGCAATCCGTTGTGTCTGGGTGGTTAAAAAGCTTTCCTTTGAGTGATGTGCCGTTGTTTACTGGCCCCATCTACACCCTTAGCTAATTTTGCATTTCACAATCGCAAGCAGAGAATAATTCGTACCATCCCTTTAACAGCCTGTAATGAGTTTTCAAGCAGCATTTCCACTCTAGCATTGCATAAGCCATTACCTCAGAGAATGGAAGGAAAGTAGTATTTGATTGAATGCTGCTCAGTGGGGGTTTTGTTCTCCATACTGCATGAAAAGGTAAAGATGATGAGCTAAAAGCGCTACTTGTAGCCTGTACATTATGGGAGACTTTGACACGACAGCGAGGCAATACCTTCTTCTTCATGGCCCATCCCCCAACACATGGTGGCAGTCTGGTGTCTGTATGCTTAATGAGTCTTCAGAGGTAGGCCCACCTCCAACGACAGACACATTCATCATGCAGGGTCAAAGGTTGGGCGGGGAAATGATGAGTCGATTATTCTCAGCCAGGGAGGTTCGGCGTCCATCTGATAAAACCATGATTTTTTGGTGGATGCATATAGTAGAGTCTGCAATATTCACTTAGCATGTGTATCACATAATGACAGTCTGCTTGTGCACATCAGTTAGCCTCTATATTTTAATGCTGCCAACCCATCAAATGTCCATTAAAAAAAAAACGCTTTTAAAAATTTCAAATGCAAACTCCTCTCAAACCACATTGGCATGTTATTTTAAATATCTTTTGAGTTGTTGCTTGACAAAAACATCTCATCTCAAGGTCCATGCAGTAGCTGTTCTAGAGCTTTCCATCATATTGCATGATCTTCCTCAGAAGGAAGCATTTTCCCACTTATCAGAGAAAAGTAGATGTTTAAATTTTCTTTATTTGTCAGTCAACCAAAGGCTTCAGAACAGCTACCAAGCTTCTGTTTCCAAGGTCAATAACGGACCTTGACAATCAGCCTTTGGATATTTACAGGAAGCAGTGTATTCTGCACAATGTCAAAATGCACTTTAATAGTTATTCAGTGGAGAAAAAGGTGGAGAGTGAATGTTTTTTTTGGAATCAAACCACTCCAGATCCTGTATCTCCCTCACTGCTTTACGCTGCCTGCATCGAAACTAGTGGATTTTATGTTTTGTCTGTGGCGCCCTGTGTTGTGTCTGCACTTGTTTTCAGTTGTGCTCTGTGTGACGGCGTTGGGAAAAGATAGAGGGCTTGGCCTGGGTGTGGGGGGTGGTCTGCTGTGGCTGTGTATCAGTATTCCGAGCGCACACTCAGCGAAACCACCACCTCTCCTGTGGGACCGTCCGCTCGCCAGTCGCTCTTCATGGATGCTGAACATGCTTCTTGCCATTTAGTCTCCTCCATCCCTCCCTCCCTCCCTCCCTTTCCTGTTCCCCTCCTCGTTTTGCAATCTTTGTGCCCCTGTACAAACACAAATCCCTGTCAGTTTTTTCCATGGAAAGACATGTCGGCTGTGGGTGCTTTGAAGGGTGAAAATATCCTGACAGGGATGAAAGAAGCTCATGGTTATCAAAGACGGATGAAAACCCAAAAGAATATGGTGCTTTTAGTCTGTTTGTTGTAATATTTCACTGGAGTCTTGCAGTGTTTAAACGATTACGCCTTGCCAAAGGACACAGGAGGAGACTAATAAGAAAATGAAAGCACAGGCGCCTCTGCATTATCATATATTATCCCAATGTGAACATTATATCTGTGTGAACAGATAGATTCAGGGTGAATCATTTCCCTGCTGGAGGTGTTGAACATCTTCACCACACAAATGGGTGTGTTTTCATTGATCTAGAAGGTGTTTGCTATGTGGCGCTGCCCTTCACGAGGCTGTCAGGTATACAAAAAAAAAAACCAGCAACGCTCTGCATCTGTGTCAAATCCTCTACTAAGGGACACTCCAACATCCGATAGCAAAGGCAATTATGAGAAGAGAGAGCGGAAAAAGGAGGGAAAAAAGGGAACTGAGGGTTGAGGCTGATGAGATGTGGAGGTTTTCTGAAGCATCTCAGATAGCCACTGCTGTAAATTTTCTTCTAAAAAGCTTCCCTTTAGCCTGCCCCTTTTCCCCTCCTCCCACTTTTTCCATTACTGTCTGCTGTACTAATAGGCAGCGGCGAGGCTAAACCCTTAACACGCTCCATTAATACCTGCAAGGATATTTTGTCTCTGTGATCCGAGCTTTGTACTAAACAGCCAAATTGTGGCCATTGGCAGATTAATTGATAATGGAAATGGATTTACAGGCAATGTGTGTGACATGAATATCTGATGCCCTTGTATAGAAGTTATGTGGAAAAAGGGGCTTAAATGCAAATAGAGATAATTATGTTAATCTTCTCTCCTTTAACCAGACAGAGTCCATGAGTTTTAAAAACTGGACGGATTAGGCCTGTTTGTATTTAAGATTTGACTCACAGCTCTTGGGCTGTATGAACCCCAGAAAAAGACCTGACTGTTATAAATATTATCATGAAACAATCAGGATTATTCCTCACCTTGACTAAATAGTGTAACAGAGTTAGAAAATGTCACGAAACCCTCAGTAACTATCTTAAAAACGAGCCAAATTAGCAACAATATGATGCAATTTTGTGCAAGTACATGAAGAAAAAAACTGAAGCTGAGCTAATAGTCATATCTTATTTTTATGCATCTGATTATGAGCATCGAGCTCTCTGCTGCACTTCCTGTTATTTCTTATCACTCTAAGCTCAACATCTCGACATTTTCACCTCTGGCAGCTCTGGAAGGATAATAAAGAGTTTCTGAAACACTTTACAATGTGAATTACTACCATACCAAAATGGCCATCATTAGATCTCAGGATGAAAGACAAATTTTCATTTTGTGCACTCATGAAGAAATTGAGTCATATTGATTCACAGCCTGAGGGGAACAAGACACAAAGAAAGATTCTTCTTCAACTGCGAAACAATGGATCTACATTATAGAGAAGCATACTTAAAGATGATGAAGACAAAAGGAAATTTATGTATGTACTAATTAGGTAGACAGCGAAATGATAATTCAGCACTAATGTGGAAGGTTGAGCTGTTCATTAAATAAAATGGAGATGTTCCACTCAGCTCGTGCCCCCCTCTCTCATCTCTTTTTGCTTTCATATTGCTCCGTCAGCAGCGGTCTGTAAATGGCTGGTCATCAGTAATTTTGCTTGTGATGTGCTAAAGGGACGAGTTCCTCTGTTTGTGTGTGAGTGAGCGAGTGTCTGCACCTGTTTACTGTCCCCGTGTCTCATCTGTAGCTGATCTTGTTAGATGTTGCTATTTAATCTACCACTACAGGCACATCAGCGCGTCTGTGCTAAGTCGCTGTAGTGATCTGGCTGGGATGTGCAGCGTCTCCTTCCAAGTCACTCGACACAGGCTCAACAAACAACTGCTTAATTACAATACACTGTAAAAACAGCAGAAGTCCATATAATTAAAAAATTCTGAGGTATGTGTCAATACTTTTTGAGGTTTTTCAAAGTAAAATATTTCAATGCTGTAAATTCAGCAGTATTTAAACGTTAACATAAAAAAATACGCAGCAGTGGTTGAATTTACTTTAAATAGCTTTTGAATTTTAGTTATGAATCTCACCTTGGAATTTGCTTATGAAGACCTGTGGCTTGACTCAGACTTTTCCCAAATACCAGCTGTGAAGTATTGCATGTGCAGGTGTGTAAATGTGCAGTATTTGTCTCTGTCACTCATTCATCTCCCCCTCCTTCGGCTGAGACAGATCCCCAGCTGTGTGGAGGTCAACAGTGCAATAAAGTGAGCAGATTTCGCTTTGGAGACGTTTCAAATTTTTACCCGAGCCTTGTGTGCATGACCTAGATTATAAGATAGTCACATGCATTGCCTTGTAGCTGTTATGATTTTTTCTTTTTCTTTTTCTAACTTATTATTCCTCCCACAAGACTTACGCCTTGGTATCTTTTATTAATATTAATTCTGACGCTATAAACTCGCACTGTACCTGGTATCCCTCGCTTTCATCACAGTCAGTTCATCAGTTTTTCCCTCAACAGGCTCTGGTGCCTCATTCATTTGTAACTGCTGCATTGTGTTGCACCGGAGAACACACAACAGCTGTGCACAGAGGCCTGACTGTGAAAACATGTTTTGTGATTGTACCAAAGGGAAAAGAGAATGAAGCTGCTCTGTCATGTAGTCATTATTCCATCCTCCTCTCTGTGCTCTTTATGAAATGCTTCTCCTTGTTTACCTCTGTTTTGGAACGCTAAGATGATTGAACAAGGGTTTGTGCTGGACACACCCATACACACACACACACACACACACACACACACACACACACACACACACACACACACACACACACACATCAAGATGTCAATGTAATTAGACTACAGAGGGCCAGACTACTGTGCAATGGATGACTGGCTACAACTAAGTGGATGATAGGCCGATCCGTTTGACAGAACTGGGTTAAGAAATAGAGTCCTTCCATTTTCTGCAGTGTGAAGTCACAGACACGCTGCGAGCAGAGAGGTTAACAGAGAGGGTTAAACTTTCTCTTTCCAAGCTCCAGACTTGCTAATCTGTTTTTCTCAGACTACTTGGAGCTACGGTGTTGTGTGCTTTAAATTGTATTCCTGATCTCCTTTGAGATGGCTCAGAGGTTAAATTGCATGTGTCTTCCCAGAGCTGCCAGTCAAAGAGGATAAGGAGGATGAGGAGGCTGAGGAAGGTGTGGTCCCTTCAGCTGTAGATGGGGATGCCGACACCAGGAGGTTGGCAGACACTTCCACGCCATCCGCTAAGCTGCTAGCAACATCCCTGCCACAGAGCACAGGTGAGCAAACACATCCCTTAAGATGTAAACAAACACTGCAGCTTACATATATTTTAAGCCTGTGTTTGTGCTGCCGTACTGTTAGGAGGAAAACTAAAAGGGCCACATGCTGTTAGTTTCATAAGCCATCCTGTAGTTGTTTCAATATCTGTTAATCTGTCAGAGGACAGGGAGAAACAATTACCCTGGATCCTTTGCCTGAAGCTACTAATTGCATCCAAAGGGAGGAGAAAACTGCTCATTCAAGCTGTGATGTTGGAGAACTGAGGAGACAGGGAAACAATGCCCACCTGATAAACAAACATTTCTCCGTACGCTCACAGATGGATAATGACAATAGCTGCTGTTAAAAAACAGAAAACACAAATAAGTATTGAGTAAGTGCTGGCTGACGACAGGAGAGTACTTTAAAATGAAGGGTTGCTGCACACAGCAGTTTCCATGAATAAAGTTGTATTATTTACTCTGTCTTGGAGTGTGTATATTAAGGCAGGAGTTACCAGAGGCTCTTATTACAAACGTGTGATTTATTACATGGCTGACACATTTGGTGATATTAACGTCAGCACTACAATGTATGTGGCATTAACTCAAAACTACAGTGCTCAAATTCAGGGTAATGAAGAAACATGTCATCTAGTGCAATGGTGTGGCTTATTTGTATATTTGGGCAATAATACAGCACAGAGAAATAGGATATATCAGGCTTTAGCTACACAGACAATGTTAGTTTGGTCTTTTCATTGGATTTGTTATTGATAAGAAAAACACAAAATATCATCTAAACAAAATCAATAAAAAAAAAGTCTCATAATCCCTCTGTAAAATAAAATATCAATGTAACAGTAAGGCCTTACGTGTTTATTAAAAGATCCACTCCTGGCCCAGTTCACAGTAGCAGATGTAGCCCACATTACCTCGCCCAGAATAGCGGATGTTGTCAAGTGATTTTCAAAAATAGACCTGTCAAATGTGCCACTCGCTGACGATGCTGTGCTACGTGGCTCTCCAGTTGGGTGTGCCACGAGTGAGTGTGAGTGAGTGAGACAATGATGTTACTAGTCTGTGTATCTGCCAATTGAATGTGTCCACCCTAAAGCAAAAATGTGTTGTCGAAAATACCGGCTGCGCATAAACAGATTTACAATTATCATAGCAGCTCGCCTATTTGCTTTCACTGACCCACAGCAGTGCAGAAAAAACAGTACGCGTGATTTAACTGCTCCACGAACTCTCACTAAATTGCTTTTTCTGACGGGAGCCAAAGTGAAGATGAAGGCAATCAGACGAAAACTACATGGAGCTTTCAGTGTCATGAATCAACACGCAGCCAATTAAAGATGAGTGTGTGGGGGCTGCAGTATAACACCAGAGGAGTCCTTCACCTTTATTACCTCAGCTGGTTTACAGGTTGAGGTGCTTTAGGGGACACCTTTCAATATTTACTGGCAAAACCAAAAGAAATTAAGACATAAATATACTAACAGTCTTCCCACTGAGAACAGAATGAGACTACTCCTCGAAATGGTCTGTGAAGCAAACTTGGTCAAATGTGGACTCCAAGTCTTGTTGTCCTCAGAGGACTTTGCTTTTAGTCTGTGTGTCCACTGTAGATGTGTCAGCTGTCCCTAGCCTGAGAGACTTGTTCCCACAGGAATGTGTCAGATGACCGAGCAGCATGCAGCGGAACGTAACGCTCTTGATCCATCCTTGTACTGCAGCCACCACCACATACCAAACCTTGTCCAGGCCGCTCGGCCGGCCCGGCAGCTCAGATGTGACATTTATCGACACGAGAGAGGCAACAAAACATGACACTAATTCAATACCTGTCACGTTTTCCACTCGGCCTGACTCAGAGGCATCCTAGTCCTGCCCTGGAAAGTAAACAAATGGGCAGAGAAGTCAGTGGCATAACACTGTATAAGACCCCACCTATTTTATCAGTGGCCCCCACGTTCAAAACGGCTGCAGCTGTGTGTTTGTTTTACACTCCAGCCACATTTCCCACACTGCTTCTGTCTGTTTTGATAGGATGACACTGTCCAGTCAAACAGTGCAGGCTTATGAGAACACAGACATATTAAAAGGCCTCATTTTAAGCTGCTAAGGTCATAACTTTCAACAAGATTAAACATAGCTCCTGTTTATTTTCTCTGACACGATGCCTGAGTATCAATGAGATGGCTTTCGTGCATTTTGTACTGATGCAATATGGAGTTTGAACTAAGAAGGTCTCACATTATTATTTCAGTGTAGTGCTGCAAGTAATGATTATTGTTGTCATTGATGAATCTGTCGATCATCAGCCATACTAGAGGCACGGCACTAGTGATGTCGGTCGGTCTTTAGCCTGGACTGAAGTATCGTGACAACAGCTAGATGGATTGTCATGAAACTTGGTAAAAACATTCATGGTTTACAGGTGATGAATCCTAATGACTTTGGTGAGCCTTGACTTTTCCCTTGGTGCTACGTGGGGTGGACATTTGCGGTCATGAAATTTTGTCCTGACATTAATGCCCCCTTCAGGATGAATTGTAATTACCTTGTTGATCCTGATCATCAGGTTTATTTGTCAATGCTTTTGTTTATGACCACCTGATAAACTAATTAGTCACAGCTGTACTTTGTTGTTAGCAAGCTAACACGCTAAGCTAAGCTAAGATGATGGCCACGCGAGGAATTACCTGCTAAACGTCAGCATGTTAGCATTGTCACTGTGAGCATGTTGAAAATACAGCCTCACAGAGCCACTAGCATAACTGCAGACTTGTTTTCAGCATCATTTATTTAATTAGATTAATCAGTTAATTTAGTCTGTAACAAGCCAAAAAAGGGTTTAAAACACTGGTCTCCCAGACCATGAAGATGTCTTCAACTTGCGCGGTTTGCCTGACCAGGTGTTTAAAAGTACTCAATTTATGATGATGCAAAACAAAGAAAAGTGTTGAACTGACGTGTTTGAAAATCTAGAACCAACTTTTTTTTTTTACTTCATAAATGAGTGATTTGTCATTCATCTGATTAATTAATCAAAATGGTTTCAGGACTATTTCAAATTTAAAAGAAAAAAAAACGTGGGAGTTCCAGGCATCCCAGGACACTGCTGTGACTCTAAATCATGTGTTGTGATTATAATACAGTCATTCCTTCCTGGCAAATTAATGTTTAGACCATTAGCTGAACTGACTTAATGGCGGCACAGCTTGTACTTTCCTGGCAGAACAAAAGAATTAATGTGAATGTGTGACAAATTTGAATGTTCTGACTAATGCTCACACATCTGTCTAACTCTCCTCCCTGCCATAATTGCTCTTCACTGTATAGTCCAGTGCGATGCTGAAGGATCATTATTAAAAAAAAGATGCATAAGGGAGTTATCTCGACAGCATTTCACTTTTTGTTATTAAAGATTCTTCAGGGTTTAATTAAAAAACAGCTGAAGAAAAAAGCTTTTCAAATCTCTGTTTATCCTCCTGTTCCTCCTGTTGAAGACATTATTGAGCTTCAAAAGACAGTTCAAGATGTCTGAAATAAAACTGCTGTGTCACGCTACAGTAAAAGATGCACTGGCAGCTGGCCGTGGGGTCATATTTCCCGGAGCTTGACATTTTCATAACAACCTGGGACTATGAATCAGCTCTGGGGTTAGGAGACGAATGAGGAAAAATTATAAAGCCTTCGACGACAACAGGCAGACGGCAGCAAAGTGCTGAAGCTTATGCTAAGGCACTTGTTTAAATCCTCTGCCACTCATGGGGATATGAGGCAGAAAGAGAGTGTGGCTTTGTTGGGGTACTCAAGTACAGCTAGTGTCAACAGTACACAAACACATGCAAATACGCAGATAGACACCCCCCAGAAATGAGCACAGTGGAAAGACATTAACATTAACTCTAGTGAAAGGCCTTCAGGCAGTTTACATCTCAGCATCGTCACTGTTAAACACACACGCAGCCAAGGATTTCACTCTCCTGCTGGTGCTGCAGAACTACACATGTTAAACATAATGGAAGCAGCAGCTACACTGTATCTATACAATTGGAAAAAATGGCAAAGACCAGCAGAAGCAGAAAACATAAAACAAGGGAAAATACATGGCAGTCAAAGGGAATAGTGGCGTTTGCTTCAGAAAACTGTCCCAGTTTAAAAATAACAAACCCACCTATGGGAGTTTCCCCTTTTTGAAGGCGGGTGTTGAAGGAAAATCATAAACAAAAGAGTGAATTAGGGGACCAGGACAGGGTGGGATGGGAAACACAAAAATACAACCCATAAAAGTACATTAAAAGATGTAAAACAAAAATGCTAAACCACACAAATTCCACTTTTAGGTTTACTTAGGACACAAATTAGGCATTCTCAATCTATATGCAAAGTTTCTGGGTTTTGCGGTGGTGATGTCGGCACATTTCCGTTCTTAAACTGGCACATAACATCACTGCCAGATATGATGTATTCCCCAGACATCACTAGATGCATTTAAACCCCCATTTGAGTCCCAAAAAATAAGTCACTAATCTCACACCACAATGATTGTAAAATATATTTATGAGTGTACAGTAAACTCGCCTGCTGTGTGATTTACTGTGCTGTCAGTTTATCCCGTTAATTTGCGCCTGTCTCTGTGGTCCATTATAGCACCTGGCTCTTTATGGAGGAGTGATTGCCTCTGATAAGCCTGCAGCAAAATGACTGATGAGCCTGTGTGTGTCTGCAAATGACAGAGATGCAATTACAAGCCGCTCCTGCTGCATTTGACTACCTTTTCTTTTTTTCTTTTTTTTTCAAGGTTTTTTAACTTGCTATTATTACACTTAAGGTCTCAATATGTTCTTCTCTGTGGTGGAAAGATCGCTTGCATGTGATGACGGTTATGTTCTGTGGAAAAGAACAAGCTCCGTGATGTGAAGCTTATTGATGCGGACACAGGGAGACTGAAAAATGTTTGTCTTTTTGCCCATCTGTGAGGTATTATGCTGTGTGAAGTGACTTGTGCTACGTTCCATTCGAGTCATCCCCCACTAATTGAGCAGTGTAAACATGTACACCGCAGATGAGCTTTGCAGGAGTCTCTGTAATGTTCACTGAAACACGTATACGCATGGTTATTCCTTAATTTCCAAAGCTAAATGACTTCGAAGCAGCCATTTCCTTCACAGCGCTAACACATGTCTAACACAATCAAAATTAACTGCGCTCGCATGGAAACTCCAGATGGCTTACGTAATGCAAGAGAAATCAGCTCTGTGGTTCTGAGTGGGCTGATCTCACACACACACACACACACACATTTTCTCTCACACACACATACACACCTTCTCTTTTGGGCCCTGCTCAGTTTGAAGTTGCATTCTTACAAGCTTTTAAATGGGATTAGCAGACTAGGAGGAAAGCACTCTTTCACCATGTTGGACATAAGCCAATTTGTTTTCTGGTTCAGATAGTTTGAACATTGATTAAATGCTTATGTGTATTCTCATCAGTGGATGATTAGTATGCTTTTAACTGGTATAAAAGTAGTTATTTCCCTTTTCAATTACTGCCCTTTAAAATATTATCCTACCAGCTTTTCAAAGCAAATTTGATCAAACTAACATTCTTCTTTCTTTGCAGGCATTCCCACCAAAACTCCACATATTCCTCTCTACACTGAAGACTGGATGTCCAACGCGGAGGACAGCAACACCACCTTCCTTCCAGACTGCAATAAAGAACGCTCCGGGATCTGCAACCTCTCGGACACCTGGTACCCCGCCACTACCACCGCCTCGGACATCAGACCCACACAAAACACCACTGCCACGAACCAATCAGTCAACCCTTTCCTCATCCCAGCTCCACCCATGTTGGTTCCCCTGTACACCGACTGGAACAGTGCCATGGCTGCTTGGGGCCTGGCCTGGGAGGCACATGTTTATGGCGCTGGTTGTGTCTTTGCGATGCTAACGCTAGCCTCAGCGCTCAATCTGCTCTGCTTGCCACTGCGATGCCCATCAGGATGTGGCTACTTCGCTCTGGTCAGCCTGTTCCTCCTAGCTGCCGGTTGTACCAGATCTTTCTCGCTCCTGTACGACGCCTACGGCCACCAGGATCGCTTACCCTCCACCGAGGCCTCACTGATGCTCTATGAGGCCCCGTTTCCCTGCCTGACTGCAGCTTTCGGCCTGGTTTTCCTTCTCCTCTCTATGCGCTCAAGAATGCAGCTCTCCTACTCAGCCTTCCAGAGACCCTGTTTTCTGGCCTGCCTGGTCGTCCTGCACTTTGCTGCTGCATTTGGTCCAGTGGCATTACTGAAGTTCTACCAGCAAAAGCCTCCCCTTTGCCTATTTCTTTCACTCATCTCCCGTGGGGCCTTTGTAGCACTGGCCACATTTCTGTCTACTGCCTATTTTGTGTTCTACATCTACGTGCGGGCAGACTCGAAGCACATCTACCACCTGAACAACACTTCTCCCACACCTGCTGAGCGCTACAACCGCTGTCCCTTTGCTGAGAGCCGCGACTGGGACCGTGCAGCTGTAACCGTTTGTCTTTCAGCATTGTTTTCTCTAGCATGTGCAGGACTGCAGTTATATGCAATGCTCAATGCTATGGGTGTTGCAGGTGGAGAGGAGGTGTTCCACCCCTGGCCCTGGTGGGCTTTTCAGTTTAGCTGCAGACTCTGTGAGCTTGGAGTTTGTCTCACCTTAGCCTTGGTGGTTGCACAACCAGTCTACTGTTCTGACCACCTTCCAGCTGCAGGAAGTTGCTGGACTGAACTGTTGGCGTCCAAATCGCCCATTCTGCCTGGGAGCTACCAGTGGGCCTTGAGCCAGCAGGAGAAACTCGCCATTGTTGACACAGTTGGGCTTGGAGAGACCGAGAGCCTTCCTCTTTACACTCTGATGGATGAGAGGCTTGGTAGTAGTCTGAACGGCCTGGACCTCCTCTACCACAGCAACCGGGCCTTAGCATACCGAGACCTGGACCTGGATATGGACTTACAGGGGTCAGAAAAACCAGAGGATGGAGGAGGCAGAGAGCCATCAGGTGCATCCTCATTTACCAGTGACTCCACTACAGATCTGCGGCCACCTTCGCCCATCAACCTGCGTCGCAGCATAGACGAGGCGCTCTTCAGTGAGGCCCTCTTTCCCATGAGCCTCTTCAGCCCTGCAAGGCCTCTTCATTGCAGTGACTTATCCATAAACAACCACTGTGCACTTCCAAGCAACGGCCTCTGTGATCCTCTCTCGGCTGACCCCGGTCTTTATCGGACTTCTTCCTGCGTGGAGATGGTCTGTCAACCCCAGCCCCCTACTACCCAACCTCAAGGAGAAACTGTTGTAGGCGCTCCACCATCTCCCTCCTTGTCCTCCACCTCCAGCTGTTCATCTCCTGAACGCTGGAGGGACAGCTCTTCCTCCTGTTCCCTCTACAGAGCCTCTCTCGGGGGTTCCTCGCTGGTCCTCTGCCCGAGCCCAGAGAGACATGCTCAGCAGCTTCTCCAGCAAGGGGGCACGGGCCATGTGGCGTCCTCTGGCCACCAGGCCCATGCTGACCCACAGAGGCACTATCATACACTGGGCGCGGCCTCACAGGAGAGCCTGGACCTGGACATGTCATCTGAGGCAGACCGGTCGGTGCAGGAGGAGTTCATCAGTGTTTGCAGACAAATCGATGCTTTGAGCATCTGCAGTGAGACTATTGATTTATAAAAGGACAGTATGGTCAAACAAGGGTTACATTGAGGACTTGTTGAGAAGGATGTCTGCTTTGTGCAGCAAGTCGTCTGTCATGGTTTTTTACAGTCTATTTGTTAGTGCATGGTAGCTTTTCCGTACAGCATTAAAGACCCTTAGCTGCCGAGATAATGTTTTTGGAGGTTGATAAGCTTTCTTATGTGGTCATTAGTGAATGTCTATGAAGTGCCAAGAATGTCAAAAGCCAAAAGGTGATTTGTAACTTTTACATGTTTGATAAAGGCAGGTGACGTTTGCTACAGTCAAAAGAATTGTAACATTTTACTGAGTGGAGATAACAGGATTTTATTTGTACAATGTTTTTAAAGCATTCCAACATTCCAATAGATAGTACTGTGACTGAGTTAAGCACTTATTAAATACTACTGAAGTAATACGTTTTCAAATTGAGCAAATATCATTGTAATTAAATCTCATGTTGAATAAATGGGATTAAAATCTAGTTTGACAAACTATAAACTCTTCATACCAATATGCTATGTCTTACTTGGAGTTATGGTGCAGCAGCAGCGCCCTCTACTGTTAAAACACACTATGTTACCTTTTCCCTCCACATTTATCACCAACAGACTGTGCTTCAACATATACTGACAGCATCCTCTGTGACCGGCTTACTAATTTATTTATGTTCAAACATAACTTTGCTTAACACATTGTTTAATAAAGTTTGTTTTATAACATTTGGCTCATTTTACTCAAACTTTTTCACACTGATAGTGTCACAACTCATGTTAAATACGACAGTAGTCCATACACAGTTTGATTTGTTTATTCTTCTTTACCATATTGAACAGCAAAAGAAACTGTTTTACTGTAAACATGTTCTGAAGTGATATTCCTCAAAAACTGATGGATTTATTGACTACCGAGTTCTTTTCCGTCCATCTAAAAAGCCCCGAGTTACTGTTTTGGTTGTTGGTTGCAGAGGCCACCAGTATGGCAACTGTATATGCTTCTCAATATACTGATGTTTAAATGATAAAAAAGTGCAGCGCTAAAAAACAAAAAAAACAAACTGTAAACCTAACATCTCAGTCTATTTGTGCTTTTTAGATGGACTAACAGGACTCAGTACTTGACAAGTAAGACATTTTAAGAACCTGAATTATGTCTTTAAGGTGGGAGACTGAAAACAAGCAGCAGTCATTTAACTGAATCTAGGTATATATTTCTCCATATATTTCCATGTACATTTTCTTGCAATTTATTCCAACTGCAAGACTGTTAGTCAAGTGAACCCTGTGGAGGGTAAAGTACATTAGCACATTAGAGAAAGCAACTCAACTCTTACAATCTGGGACATTTTATTAAAAAAAACAAAAAACAAAAAAAAAAAACCCATCTGGCAAAAGAACATCCATTATGAAATGTTAGAAAAGCCTACTCCTATATAAGCTGAATGATAACAAAAACAACAATAACTGTTTCAAAGTAAGAAAAAGGAGGCGAGTGTGTATAGCGGTTATGCATTACAATGCATTTTCACTGAGCTGTCATCTACAGCCTTTATCCATCCCTGTTTCAAGGCATATCTCTGGTAAAAATAAACATTAAGTCAGAAATAAAATAAACCTGTTACACAGAACCTATGCAACATAGTGAGAGCGCAGGACTGAACAAGTGACTAAGGTACCAAGCAACTTGTTGCGCCAATTTTGGTTTTGAAGTTACAAAAGAAGAGTGTCAGAAGAAGTGTAAATACACTTGGCAGTATGTATGCAATTACAACAAAGCAGAATATAAATACAGCCATGTTTGGCTTAGTGAAAAAACAAACATGCATATCAAAAACCCTTCATACTCAATTCAAATCCCCCAAGTCTATACAGGTTTAATATAAAGGTTGTTTAATCTAAAAGGGCAGAGAAATTATCATTCTCCTCATGAACTATTTTTTGATTGATATATTGATTTTAGCTTTTTTTTTTCTTTTTAATATACCTGATCTTTAGCTTTTGGTCACTTCCATGCTCAACATATGAACACTGAGATGGGACACTGATTATTTGGCTCGAGATGTCTTTGAGGGGGAAAATGAATGTCCACAGTGGCAGAGACTGTGGGTCTGACTTCTGTCTACCGATTTCAGGTGATGTCAACAGGATTACTGTCTTGGGCAATATCTCGTACATTAGGATCCACAATACACAAGTAAACAGTAAGCGCTTAAATATAAGCAGCTACCTTTTATTAAGTAGCTTATACCTGTGAGGTCTTAAAAATGCACAAAATATAACGGATAAGTTTGCCATGATACACCGACACACTGCACATAGAGAGACAAGTGTTTAATCTTGTTTTCTGCACACGCACTAGTGTGTTTAAAAACTGGGATGTGTGAGGCTTCCGACAGGGAGTTTGCTGGTAAGCGTGGATCCCCCAAAAATAAAAAAAATAAAAAATAAAAAAAAAGCCAAAAAAGATGCTGATGGGATCTGCACCATGGTCATTTTAGACTCACTAATAATAAGAGGACAAAAAACACAGTGCACCTTCTCTTACATCCCAACGTTCAGAACACACATTTTAAACCATATCTCTCACAGACACACACACGCACGCACGCACGCACACACACACACACACACACACACACACACACACACACACAAAACCCATAATTCATAGGCACACAGTCATTCACATTCTCTATCAACACACACACACACAAAATTGGGATCAGGCTGCATACTCAAGATACAGGTGTGTATGTCATTCCGAAAACCCTGATGCGCCGCTTCTTGAGTGCAAAATCCCAGGTGTTCCGAGGGTCGGTGTCAGTTTGAAGATTCTCACTTCGCTACGGTGCCTCTTTCCTCCCCCAAGCCGCTGGTTGGGATCAGACAGAGCAACGGTGGATACTTACGCATGGGGGGGGGAGGGCAGAGAGGGGTGTAGTAGGTGGTACGCATTTTAGCATAAGTGGCGGTTTCAACATTTGGTCGCTGTTAGATTGGGTGTGTCACGTGCGCCGCTGATGTGTGCTCCACTCCCGCCCCCAGTTCAGTAAAGCCGCTTCTCATAACTGTGGAGGCAAAGAAACATCGGAGAGGAATCAGCATTTGCTCTGATACAAACCACTTTTGTTGCCAAGACTTTCACATTCATGCAACAACTGCATCCACCCGTTATGCAATGTTTTGCCAGTTTTTTTTTTTTTTTTTTTTAAATAATCTTGCTGCTATTGAAGCAAATAATGATGGGAACTGAAAACACTAATGCTTTTTGCTGCATTGTCCCTCACAACTTCAGTCGCTTTATTTCTGCTCTCAGCATTTCCTAATGTCAACATCTAACAGGAAGTACAGTGCTGAAGACAAGCTGTTCGTTGGCAGTGTAATGACGAAATAATCTGTGACAATCAACAAAGAAACCACAGTTCCGAGTTTGCATATCCGCTCCTGCCACTGGGAACTCAAATAACCTGCTTTCACTGTAAAAACAAACTTGTTTCTACTTTCCTTTTCAAAAAGGAGGGTGTGTGTTTTTGCAATTAACTTTTAAATCATTATTCTATTCTATTCTTCATTATTCTCCAATGTTATCCAAATGTTTGTGTGTTCGTGTGGATGTTTTTGTACTTACGAGTGGAGTCCGTGAACGCCTCCCTCCACCTGTGCAGACATGGTGCGCTTCTCAAACTTTAGCTCTCCAGAGTACATCATGGAACTGAGAAGAAATGAAACATTGTAAAATATAACACACATAAAACTGAACTGGATTATAACCACTGACCAACACTAACAAAAACTACTCACCGGAGGACAGACAGACTCTTTGCCCCGATGTCCTGGCAGCCATGTTGGATACCGGCTATCAGGTATGGTGCAAACTTGTGGATGGACCCCTTGTCCTGGACCGAGCCCGACACACCCTGAGCTACCTTCACTTTGTCGCCCTCACTGTGGCAAAGACATCACCCAATTTATATTCATGGGGTGGGATCACCACATTGTAAAAGCTGCACTTTGAATTCGGGTTTTCACATCTTTAGACCTCCCACATACCTAAAATAGCGTTTCTGGCTGCTGGTGCTCTTCTCCATGGCATCCAGGGAGCCCATACCACGGTACTTTTTCAGCCGCACACCATCTGAGAAGAAGTACTCTCCTGGAGCCTCAGTGGTTGCTGCTAGCAACGAGCCCATCATAACTGGAGTGGGAAACAAGGGAGAATTATGTTTGTGTTCCTGTATTGCCCAACCTAACCTGATCACTGCTGTGATAAACCACTTTGTTGCTAAGAAGACTTGTTACAACATTTGTGTGTCACAATGTTTGAAATCTCACCAGTCGATGCTCCGAGTGACAGAGCCTTCACCACGTGGCCCACAGTCTGAATGCCTCCATCTGCGATGACTGGCACACCGAAACGCCTGGCGTACTCTGCTACCTTGTACACTGAGGTCCCCTGGGGCCGCCCACATGCCATGACTAGAAGGCAGAAAATATTTTTCATGACTGCCATGGAAACAAGTCAAACAACACATTCATGTGATGTGATGCAGAGCAGAAGTTGGAACAAGCAGAAATCAGCTGAAAAAAAAAAGTAGTATCTATTTCACTCATAACTAACAGAGATGTTTTGAGTTCATATCCTTTTGCTGCAACATGTCTCTTCTGTTCTTCTTGGTGAACGTGACCTAGTCTGAGCATGAGAGGCCGGTCCCCATGGCAACCCAGAACAGGGCCTTGGCAGATCACCATGACAACTAGGAGTGGTCTCAGGGTATTTGTTACCGCTAGCAACTGATCGCCTTTTCTTCAAACTGTAGCTCATAGCCAGATGCACAGCAGGGATGAACGTGCATTCTTTACCTATTTATCATTATGTCCTTATATTCAAATATACAGCTGCTTATATGTTCAAAGGATTTAAAACAGGATTGAGTACCTTCCTGCGTGATGCAGATGGAGCCACAGCCCATCCCGACTCTTAGAGCATCCACACCAGCATCGATCAGATTCTTGGCCTGGGCTGCTGTAACCACTGCAGGTGGAGGAACACAAAAAAAACAAATGGTCAGGAAATGTGTGCAAATGAAGGCTGCCGAAAACCCAGGGAGTGCTTTGTGTTCAAAATCAAAGTCCTTTGACCAATGCTTCATTCCACCCAGATGTACATATTTACAACAGAGGAGCAACACCTGTATACTCACCATTTCCTCCCACCACTTGCAAGTCTGGATACTTCTGTTTAATATAATTTATCATGTTGATTTGATACACCGAGTTGCCTTGTGAGGAATCCTAGAAATGCAAAAACATTCTTGGTTAAAGTACCTAACAGTGTGCATATTATTAAGACATTTCACACACATTCTGTAAGTTGAATTGAGGAGAACATTTGACCTAACATTACTGCTTGAAGATCGTTTTCAGATTCAAGTGTATATATATATATATAAAAAAACTCCAGTTTGGTTCTGGCCTTCTCAGACTTTTATGATAGACTGGCACCAGTGATAAATATAGAGCAACCACACTACAACCATCAAAAACACCCACCAGCACAACAACATCCACTCCAGCCTGCACTAACAGGTCCAGTCTGTATTTGTCATCCTCCCTGGTGCCGATGGCGGCGCCGCACAGCAGCTGTTTGCGTGAGTCTTTGGAGGCCAGGGGGTAGTCCCTGTTCTTCTTCAGATCTGTCCGGGCAATAATGGCCACCAGCTCGTCGTTATCATTTACAATGGGAAGCTTGCCTGGTTAACAGAGAAAGTGAGAGAAAGACAGGTTGTTAAGCTCCATGGAAGAGACTAAACTCAAACTAGAAGAAGCTGCTTTCATGCATGAACTTTTATTCACCTTTTTTACTGCGCTGCAGAATATCATTGGCTTCTTTCAGTGTAACGCCAGCTGGAGCCACAACCAACTCCTCCCTCTTAGTCATAGTCTAGGAGATCATCAGCACAATGTCAAAGTAAAAATGATCAAATGAGTGAAGCCAGTACAAACATTAAATTGATAGTTTGTTGGAAACAAAAAAAAAAAAGAAAAAATAAACATACACACCTCCTCCAGAGGTTTGCCATGGTCTTTCTCAGAAAGGAAGTCAATATCTCTGGAGGTGACGATGCCCACCAGTTTGCTGCCCATTTTGCCTGTCTCTGTGACAGGAATACCAGAGAAGCCATGTCTTACTTTGGCCTCAAACACATCCCCAACTGTGTGGCGCGGACTCATCACAACTGGGTCTGTGATAAAACCCTGCTCAAACCTCTGGAAACCAAACCAAACATAATTATTATAGTTATGGTTATTTATCCAAAGCAGCAAAAGCAGGGCAAAACCAAAAACACCACACACAAACACACACACACACACACACACACACACACACACACACACAGCAATAAATGAATAGCATTATGCAAACAACAATACAACAGTAAAAGTAACAGAACGCACGTACACACACAAACAAAAAACATAGAAAGAAGACAATTACCATAACCTATATAGGAACAAGACAGGAAGTGATTTGAAAGACAACAAACAACAAGACAACAAAAACAATAACAGTAATGATGCTTCTGCTACAACCAAACCACGTTTAGTGAACATCTGTTTTAACTACAAAATGCTGATATAGTATGACATAAAATACACAGAAGATATTAGTTATTTGTCCATATGAAGGATAATCGTAGTTTACCTTAACCTTGCGGACCTCATTGGCTTGGAATTCTGGTGTGCAGTTGTGGTGAATGATGCCAATCCCTCCCATTAGCTACCAAATCCAAAAGGAACGATGTGTGGATTTTAGAATCATGCAATTAAGGAAATATCAGTGCTCTTTTGCAATATTTTTTAATATCTTACCGCCATAGCGATTGCCATGGCTGACTCTGTGACGGTGTCCATGGGGGAGGAGATGAGAGGGGTCTTCAGTGTGATCTTCCTGGTCAGTGCTGATGTCAGGTCCTGGGAGACAAAAAGACAGAGGTACATATTTAAGAGTCTTAACATTCAACATTTTGTACAGGTTCCACCAGGGGGCAGACTGAACCAGGGGGATAGACAACACTCCACTGTTGTGTCTTTAAGTGGTTAATACAGTTAAATCCCTCTCAATGACACTAAAGGACATAACCTTAAATGACAAGAGGCCAGTGAGGTCAATTTAAGCAGAATTTTATAAGATAGATAAACAAGAGCTCCTTTAAAATAAGAATGGACATATTAGCTTTAGTGTGTTATTAAGTGTTCATTTGTGGTGTGAAATTCACACGCCATCTAAAAACATTGCCCTTCCTCTCAGGGACAGAAACCTGGCCATGCGAAAGAGCCACACAACAGTATCTCCAACTTTAACTTCTCACTGATTCCCACCACAGCCAGCACCAGGTTTTTGCTATCTTCACCTGGGGGAGTGAAAATAATGACATTCTTTGCACATGGGAAAACCAGCATATGAGATCTATGAGGTCCAAGCTTATTACTCCTTATCTGTGACAGATGTAAACTATGGAGGCTGCTGGCTGCTTTTCTCAGAGGTTCATTGTGAAGGCGAGAGAAATCACCTAACACCACTTCTCCATTTGGAGAGCACAACTGCACTAACCTGCTAAATTCAACTGAGAGTTAGGAAAGCATGTCAAGAACATCACGACCCCAAAGAATTTCCCATAACAGCTCCTCGCTCATGTGGCCCCTCATCAGGTTTCTAAAAACCTTACCCAGTGCACACAAAGCTGGTATATTACACATTTCAAGTGTACTGAGCTGCTCTGTGTGGACATGAACTACTCCACAGTTTTGACTGAGGCCAAATCTGGAAGCATTTGTGTTATTCAAGCTTGAATAGGCCCACTATCCTGTGGAAAAACTAGGGCAGCCCAAGACTCTGTGGAGACAACTAACCCATGACAACACGGCGAGACAGACAAGCAGCTCACACAGTGAAGCCAGCTCTCTCTAACGCTGAAGGAAAGAGCGAGAGATTAGAGATATCAATTAAATTAAAAACCCTCCCGAGATGGACAAAGCAGAAACGAGGGATTTCATCTAAAGCTCGGAGATTAACTCTCCCGTCATCTGCTGAGAGAGATGGATGAGCAACCGAGCAGACACAAATGTAAACACAAGGGTGAGGCAGCAGCCAGCGGGTGACCACAGCGGGTGACCACAGCGGGCAAAAATAGCAGGGCAGAAGAAATGATGCAGACGCTTTTACTCGGGCAAAAACAACACTATATTTGTGAGAGCTGCAATTACTAAAATGACGCTGAGGTCTGGAGTGGAGAGGTTTGTTTAAAAAAATTAAAAGAGACTCCACTGTAATAAGGCTGATGGTTTAGGAAGCGGTTCTGCCAAGAACAGTCCGTCTGCTGACGCTGCTGCACTGCACATTCACCATCACGACGGGTGTGGGAGAAACTGAGGAGACGATTGGCTTGTCCCTCAAAAAAGAAAAGAAAAACGCAGGAAAGTCTCTGCTCAGACGTGACACTTACTTGAAAACATTTGTCTGAAATTATAACAGAGCATACATGCCCTTTTGTCCTCTCAAATATCTGCAGCTATATATATATACTCACCACTTCGTCTGATGTAAAGTCAATGAAGCCAGGTAAAATCAGGAAGTCACTGAAAGACATAAACAAAACGCAAAGTAAGCAGCTGATCCTCACAATTTAGCAGTGCTGAGGTCTAAAAAAAAAAAAACAAACAAAAAACATCCACACTGCACTGAAAATGCCAGAAGCTAAAGAGTTCCTTGTGAACAACCAACATTTTGTAGTAACATCTACAAAATATCTCCAAGAAAAGCAGAAAACTGAAAATGTTTCCCTACATTATGGGTGGTATGAATTCACAGGGTGAAATGGAGATGGAAATGGAAAAGGAGAGCGCTGCTGAAAAAGATGGCTAACCTAACTCAGATGTGAATGTGATAGATAAAAACAAGAGTATGACTGAGTAGCCAGAATGTGAATGAACTTGAGGTTGTGCTCATCAGCTGTCATGCAGGTGTAATTAAATATCCGTTATCTTTTTTTTTTTTGGTTGATGACTTCTGATCTTTTTCTACTTGTTACCTTCTCTATAAAACATCTAGGACAATAGCAAAGAGCCTGTGACGTATTGCTGGATACTCTGTGTGCCCTGATGGTTCCCAGAATATTGCTAAGTGGCTAAGTGCAGACTGTGAATTTAGCCAGTACGTCCTGTACTTGGTTAAAAAAAAAAAAGAAAAAAGAAAAAAAAAGAAAATTGTACAGTTGACTTCTTTCAGCTCTTGGCCTGTATAAACACAATGAAAGGAGGAGCAAGATGAATGGAAGAGCAGGGCCCAGACTGAGGAATGGTGTGTTTGTTTTTCAACCAAACTCTGTAAAACTTTGTGGTTTTTGCAGATGGGTGTGAAATCAGGCAGGGGACAGATGGAAAGATGGAGGAATAAGGGCAGCTTTGTAAGCCATGTTGGAAGAAACTGGAGGGGGAAACTTAAAGACAAGAATAAGTCAAACAGGTAAATGGTAAACAGTACAGGTGTACATAATTGGGTCTAAATGAGAGTGGGAGTTGAGAGAAAAGGGGTGGGACCAATCTGTTGACAGATGATCCTCATTTTTTTCCTGCTCTAGTAAAGGAAGGTCTTAAACAGCCACACAAGATAGGACACTGCAAGAGAGGAGCCCAAGAGCCCAAACACCCACAAACCAACATGGGGACAAGCAAGAAGTCCAGCATACATCTGCTAGCATTTAACAGCCGCCACAAACCTCAGCTGCGGCACACAGGCTGCACCTACTGGCTCGGGATCAGTGCTACACAAGAGCTCGTTAAGTTGGTTTTGAATTCTGACGAAAACACCGGCTTGGTGACGATCATGGTTTTCCATTTGAATGTTAAATGTAGACAAATGCAAGATGCCAAGCATGAGTGTTTGAAAAGTAAATGCTTAGACAACTGTCCGTCTGTCCTTGCCCTGGCTGGGGCATTAAGTAACTAACAACACTTTACAACCACACCCAAAAAACACCAAAGCATTCCAATGCACGGCACCCAGTTTTTATTAATGTAGCAGCAAATTTAATAATGGTGAATCTCCATGAGTAACAAATGCATGTCTGACTCATCACTTTATTTGCTTTGTGTGACAGAAAAGCCACCAGTGCACTGTTAATACACTACAGTTGGCAGCAAGAGTTTATTTTGCTAATGATTGCGACTCTGTTGTACAAGTAACAATAAATCACAAACCTGTGCTTGTAACATACCAGCCTATGTTTGAAGTAATTGACGCTTCTCTATTATGGTGTTTAATGGTTTAATTGGCTGGTTTGGTTTTGCTGTGGAACAAAGGTGCAGTCCGTGATCGGTGTACAGCACTGCACCATGTGGTCTTGTATGTACAGAATAAAGGATGTAGTTGAGCTGAATGGCAATGACCCAATATTTACCCTGAACCAATAGCCTGAGGCTCGTGTGAGAAAGTGGAATAAGAGACGTCTACACATAACATACAATTCATCAATGTGTTTTTAACAGAGCCATAGACACACTGTCTATATTCAGGCAAAAGCACTAGGACACCTTTAATTTTGAGGCCATTTCAAGAGTGTAGACAGCAATGGAGTTCAGACGTAGATTTAATGAAGTGAACAATCATGCTCAAGACATGGTTTCTGCACCTGGTTCCAAGTCACAATATTGCAGGAAGCTGTCTCTCTCACAAAGCCGTTTCCGTCTTTCTGTGTCACTTTAGGTGGCTCACTTTCTTTTTCCTCTACTGAGAGTGAACTAGTCTATGAACACATTTAGAAGAACAGTACACACACACACAGACAGACAGATGTGTACACACACACACAAAATACAGAAACTTTAAATCTGCCTAAGAGAAACTCTTCCACTAAAATCTGTACTGTATTTGTCACACTAGTGTTAGAACAAGGTTAAAATGCAGGACAAATGGCTTGTAGAGACCCGTGCAGACTCTTTCATCCTCAGACCAATCCCATTCACCCCAGTTCCTCCTGCAGCTCACATGATGTCAATTCAGGCCATCATGTGCGCAACCTTTCCATTGGCCGTGATGCACTTGATTAGTTTGGAGGGTGTTATCCAATCACATGTGGACACACTCAAACATCATTACGTTTTCTATTCAATTAGCTTAAGCAGAAGCAGCATGATTAGAGCAAAGAATTTGATGTTTTTCAGCTGATAAAATCTTCCAAATACTTGAATTACTTGAATCAAAATGTTATTTTGTTGGCCTTATGCAGTTGATAATTATCTACATTATGTTATACACAATAGTGCATTAATGAATGGTCCTTAAGGGAATGCTGAAAAGGTATTTTAAGCAATGGCTGTAATGGTTGTTAGGACCTGTGGCACAACATATTGTTGAGGTAAAGCACTGTGATGACTTTAGGAGAATGTTCAGTGGAGCAAATGCAAGGTAAAAAGAGATGACATGCTTCACTGTGCCTAACAACCACCACAAGTGAGTTGCACAACGCTTTGCTTCTTGTTGTTTATTATTAAGAAAATCAAAAAGGTGATTACATGGATTAATTGCGAAAATGGTGATCTATGATGATCTATAAAGCATTCTTGATGTGTCACCAGAATGCCTACTAGAGGAGTGTGAGGGTAAGTAAGAGGTGAAAAATTAGTGCTTTAAGAGTACCTTTAGCAAAGCATCTGTCAGAAAGTGCACAAGCTGTTCTGTCATGCATTCATGCTGCAGTCACAGGACAGGTTGCGCACTTTGATGGTTAGTTGAGGTTAATGATGCAGCTCTGCCCACTGGAAGCAAATTTCATCCCCATGACCGAGATCCGGTTGAGCATTCCACCAATCCCTCCATTTATCTTCTGCATTCATGCACTTCCACGGCACCAGATTGAGATTTCTAGATGGTTTGTTTCATTCATGGTAAAGTTGCTTTAGACGGACAATCATTTGCTTCCCCTATATGAATTCACTATTTGGAGAGACAGAGGATTTTAACAGCACAGTTTAAAAACAGTTTAAAGATGACTGTTTTACTCACTTGTAAGTCAACCCATCTCCTTTAGAGCATAGCTCTTCAGCCGTATGACCATCGGAGACAACGCACTGTTGGTCAGATCTGCTGGTTCAAAATGTGTTGGCCATTACAAAGCACTGGTGCGTACACGTCACCCACCATTGCGCGCAGGTGAGGTTTTAAAATGAGGAGACCTTATTTTTAATTTATTTAATTACTTTACTGACATTTCAAAATAACAAAATCAAAGTCTGTGATGCAGGGAAACTTACTTGTATGTAAGGCCATCTCCAATTGAGAAGAGCTGCTGAGCTGAGAGTCCATCTTCAGGTACATAGCCAGTACCACCGCTGATTAAGTAATCCGCCATGCTGCCAAATGATAAGGAGAGGCAACTTCAGTCAGCTGTGTAGCCCCAGAATCAGATAAAGATGTTTATCTACAGGCAGTGACAGGATGCTCTGCAAGAACTCTAGACATCCACTTTACATACAGAGCTTTAGTGACCTTCTCACAGGAAGACATAACCATAGCAACATCAACATCCCTCAGCCAGCCACAGGTCACTGCGCCTGCGCGGCAGGTGCAAGATGCCACCGCTTCCTCTACTTTGCGAAAACAAACCATTAATCATCCTATGATGAACTTTCAACCCTGCTGTAAAAACTTGAGAGCATATGTTTAACGACCATTACAGAGACATTAGTGGACATTAAAAATATCACCAATTACACTCATAATCGAGTATACGTCACTGAAAAAAATCCTACCGTGATTTTTGTGCTGGGAAGGACACAGAGCGAATCTACTGTCTCTGCGTCGACAAAATTAAACCGTTATAACATAAATCGAGCGCATCAGAAATAAATAAAGCAAATGACAACAGTGCAGCAGTCCCCACACGACCGCGTGTTGAGCAAAATATGGCCGGGTGACCCACTAACAGTTCACTGGACCAAAATGTTCACAAGTGCACGCTTTCGATTTCAAGCGAGGTGATACTAAGGTCAATTGCTATAAATAAAATCATTGAAACGCGGTCTTAATGGCACACATTATCCTAAAAATGTATATTTTTTCGACTTGAGCGGTAACGTCTACTGTCCCGGTGACCTACATTGCATTACCAGTAGCTAGCAAACATTAGCTGCCGGTAGATAAAACAAAACATGCTAATTCAAATCCGTCTTTGTTTTTATAGTGACGCGACAACACAGCGTCCATGCTGCTGATCATCCGTGTTGCATTATCCATGCTAGTAACGTTGTCCATGTTAGCCCCTCTCTCATCTCTCACAATTCATAACTCCATGCCTGGTTAACCACCGTTTATCATCCACCAAACAGCACTTTGTCTTTTAAAAATTGGCTTACATTTCATCACAGTTCAGCCAGTGTTAAACCTGACCACATCCTAATGCTGGAATAACAGTTGAACCAAAACTAAAACTTGAAATTTTATTACATTAACTTCTGTTTTCAGTGTTCAATGCACGCCGAGTTGGATAGTGGCTCCCAATATATGCTAAATGATCTGACATATTTTTCTCCCCTGTATAACGCAGTTCAGAGAACAGAGGCAACACTATTTTACAACAGAGTTTTGTATTGCGTTCAGCGGTGCACGATTTCATGCCCACAGCATGTGTTGCATGCCGGTTGATAATGCCATATCTATCATTTTCAGGAACGCAAAGGGGAGGTGAGGTTACTTTACTTAAACTTATATCAAGTGAGCCTTCAATATGTACTATTAAAGATAAATGAAATAAAATAGACGCCTTTTTAATTAAAGCACATGACGCACTACATGAATATGTTTACGAACATACCGTGGCAACTGCTGTCTAACACTATTGACACTGTTAGCTTAGGGTAATAATACTTGTAATGTTAGCAAACGGTTAGCTAGAGGATTGGAGACACCCGTTTCATCAGCCAGCTGGCAATATGGCTGGCACCTAACCAACATTCCCTGAAATTCACAGGCAAGTTAACTCAGACCTGTAAATCATTAGTCAGTGTTTCGCACGAATAATTGTGCTTTCTCAAACACATTTGCCATGTTGAAACGGGCACTTGTGCCAGCGTTCAGGTACATTATTTAGCGACCGTTACAATACAATTTTGATGTTACCTCATTGAAATTTATACCAGCAGTGTACGAGCAGGTAAGCTCTATCCAAATGACGATAATACAAAGCTGTCACACCTGGCGCAGATATTTTTATAACTCACTAATGTACATGAATCTGAACTTTTTGGCAGACCAGACCTAAGCTGCGTCCAGACTACGTTTGACTTGCAGACATGTGGGAGCAGCCATTAGCATTTAGCATTAGCGGCGTGGTTATTACGGCTTCACCCACGAAAAAGGCTCCTGAGACGTTAAAGCTGCTCTCTCCATTAACAAGTAAGAAAGCATTTTAAACCATGTAGCCCCCTGTCTGGCGTGAACACCATAATCTTTTCCTAGACCGAGAAACGCTAGCTACAGCTGCCTAATGGAGCTGCTGATGCCCACGTTGACTAAAAGGAAGCAACTTTCCATGAGTGACCCTGCAGATGTCAGGCTGGGAGCGGTGGTGGACGCGCTAATTCAGTTTACCTCGTAGAAGAAACTAGAAGAAAACACCGGTCGTTCGTGGCTCCAAGATGTGAAAGTACAGGTCTGCATTAAAGTGAAACAGAAGCGATTGCCCGTCGCAGACAGTGCGTGTTGGTGTTATGTACTAGCGGCAGCGTCACATCCCCTCTCCCGTCAGAGGCGTGTTTAACCCTCTGCATCCTGCTCCTGACAAATCACAGGACTAGTTATGGACATAGGTTGTGGAACGAAGAACATGTACAAGAAGTGTAGCAAGAGTGACAGAAATGCTGATAGACTGGTCGTCAGTGAGCACTACTTTTTTAAGGCAACAGAGCTGTTGTCCCTACTTGAATTTGTATTATTTGAGGGTTTGTAAAATCTACTTGGACAGTTTTGGGCAGCTCTTTATACATCCACTACATTTTAAAAGGGAACTAGTTTCACTCCACTGTGCATATATGACAGCCTCAATAGTTACTTCTCACATTAAGATTTTCCATACAAACCCTTTCAACATCTTATAAAATACTATGCATTGTTAATGATTAGACTTTCCTAACAGTATTGCTGCATAATGAGTAGGCTACTTTTACTTTTGATTCTACAAGTACATTTTTTGAAGATACCTCTACTTTTATTTGTAATGGAGTACTTTATTGTGGAACTGCAAGTTTGACTGCATTTGAGTCATTTACCATTGTGCTTTGGCACTTTCAGTTTTCATTGTTTCGCTTTTTTTGTAAAATTTTCATTTTTAGTGCCATGTCAAAGGCTCAGAGCAAAAAATACATGGACACATCTGGTGGTGTGGACACCGTGTAGAGCTAGGTAGATACTGTGAAAGAGGAAATCATGTGGCTAAGTCAGCCTAATATGGGCATATTGATTCATTGATACTTTCATGCCTTAATTTTCCTTAATTTAGCGAAACGTTGTGTTGAATTTAACCAGTGCTGTCTGGATTCTGGTCACATGTAATTAATCTAAACTGGAAGAATGAATAGAATGAATTCAAAAAGCCCATCATGCTTATAGGAGCTAAGTGTTGGGCAGTCCGCGAAAGGGAAGCAACATAACACCGCACATCCAGGCACACACACACGTGCACATTTACATTACTTGGCAGTTTGTCAGCATGCTGCTCTTGTCATTAAGCTGTTGGCAGCATAAACGGTTAGCATGAGTTCCTGACAGAAAATCACTGTTGCTTTCACACACTTGAAAATACGACTGTCAGGATCTATTATCTCAGCTTCATGGAGCAGAAAGATCAGAGTAAAATGATTTACTATCAATAAAAAAAAGTTTTTTTGTTGTATGTGCTGCCAAAACCTTTACACATTTGATACTTTGGCAACATCAAGAGCTATTTTTAAACATGTTGCAGCCAACTTCAAGTCTGTCTCCTGGCAGGACTGCGGTCACCTTAAACAATCTTGCATGTACAAATCAAATTATGGCGATTTGACACAGAGATTCAATGCGAATATATGGCTAACACTGTTTTGTATTTGCAGTTGTACTGTAATGGGGTTTCCAATCATGGCATAAAAAAAACAGATCCATCTGTCAGAAATTAGGGATTATAATTCAGAGTTGGGATTAGGGAGTTAGGGAGTGATCCTCTGTATTTAGTGTGCTTTCATCTTCAACTTTGGCAGGCAGTGTGACATAAGTCATATAATATTTAAGTTGAACGAACAGGGTATTGTCTACAGATACACAGAGTTTTTCATTTTTTGTGTAACAGTGCTATTCATGGGGCTGGTGCTATGGTATGAGGACCTGCATATTGACCATTTCTCACAGAGATGCACTTCAGATGTCAAATACAATAAAGAACCACGAGGTCTTCCCTCGAACCCAGTGTACTTCACAGTCCTCCCTTGTTCTATAATAATCTTAGGAGAGAGTTGCTAGATATGTCTGCCAAGGTGACTCAGTGGGATCCGTTTCCCATTCTGTGTTTGTGTCAAATTAAATGTGGGTCATTGCAGATATGGGTCAGTGGTTCCTTTATGCACTGTAGCTATTTTGAGCAGTTGATTCAGGCTTGTTTATCCGCCCTGCAGCATGCTGCTCTCTCCTTGATGGTGCATCGTGGAATTGTCTGTGTTCGTGAGGGGCCGAGGAGCCGTGATAAAAATAGGCCCTGACAACACATCTTTTTTTGGCATCTTCTCATAAGCCCAAATGATTATCTACAGGGCATTTCAAACAACTCAAAAATGAAGTGTGCCATCCAAAGCAAGGGATTTAACCTCAAGGGCATTTGCAAACTGATCCAAATGCAAGTATGTGTGGACATGTAAACTGACCTGATGGCATGAAGGTAATTTACATGTGCAGCCTTATGAAAGCACAGCCAGTGGAAGCAATGAGAATGACAGAAGTGACTCACATCATCATGAGGGTTGAAATTCTATTTTTGCTAAGTCATTGTTAGTCTTACTTTTGCACTTATCTTTTTGAATCAACATTGATCCTCCTTCCTTTCCTTCCATCCTTTTTGTAATTTCTGGAAAAAGTTTGAGCATGTATTCAGTTTTTTTGCAGAGCTCTCGCACTTGCTGCCAAGAAATTTATTCTGCAGCCTCCAAATTTGCAAAAACAAACAGCTCCAAAAAGTCTTTCTGTTACATTCTGTGAAAAAAGTGAAACGAACAGATTTAATCTGCACACTGATGGAGTTACACTAACTCACCTCTCTGGGACAAAACCGGCCTGGATGCGCGTGGCGCTGTATCGCTGGGCTGCAGTTTCATGTCCATGGCCGTATGAGGTTTGCCGGACATACTGGTCACCTTCTCGGGATCCAACATTGGTATGCGTAGGCTGAGTGTCCCCCACAATTCTCCTATAATCCACCTGCTGGCTCTCCCTCGCTCCTTCTGCTCCAAAGTGCTCATAACCATACCCCTCCATCATCCGTCCAAGGTCAGCCTCTTGTTTTTAAACAGATTGTACAAAATCAGACAAGATATCCGACACCTGAAGGTTACATTAGGGTCAAAACAGTAGAGAATTTTTTTTGTTGAAACCTTGGCATTATATGAACTTCATAACTAAAGTTTAGTAAGAGTTTGGGGGTTACATTTTGCAAAACAAATGCAAAATCTCCATTTGTTTCTAGTATCCTTATCTGAATGCCAGCGCCTGCTCTATTTACTCTGTTGCTAACTTCCAGACTAGATACCGAGCTGCATAGGTGTTTCCACAGAGAGCAAAACAGAAAAAAAGACCAGTGTCAGGCGACTCCGTCTGCTCCTGAACAGGATGCACCTGCCTACAAAAAGGCACCAGCCACCTCTAGGCGTGTCAATAGAGGGCGTCACCTAGGAGATTCTCCCACTGAGAGGGTGTTGCTGTGGAAATGATGCCAGCAGCGGAGTGTTGTCGTGGAGAGGCCGTTGTGCTGATGTCTTCGTTGACCGTGGAGGAGGTCTTCTGTCATGTAGGTAGAGGGTAATGCAAAGAGTAGAGGAGCACAGCAAAGCCCCGCACTGCACTTATATGTGGGATAAAGCAGTCATTGCCTTGAGCGTTTCTCTACCAGTTGAATGGAGTGAGTGGTCCTGTCCTGTTGAGTGCTCCATGAAGCGCTCTCTATGTCTTGCTCCCCCTCTATGCATACGTTAATCCTGCTTTCTATCAGTGGAAGAACGTCACTTTCACAAAGAGGATTTCAGAATTAGAATGAACAGGACTATAGTGTCAAGCTCTGCAAAGAGAGCAGCACATTTTACCGCTGTGGTGTGTTATTTTATTTGTCTCAGCGGGCTCTATTAAAACCAAATACATACAGCAAACATAGCATTGTGAAAGAACTGCATTTGGCACAGGGCAGTGGTTTTTTTTTTTTTTTACTACTCATTTCAGCTCCTCTTACCATTACCCACTGGTATGATTTGTATTGCTTCTTGAGCTTTGCGCAGGCCTCATATAACCACTCCACTTCCCTAATATAACACAACATGTACCTTGACACTGCTGAGTGAAGTTTGCACCAAAGTGTCAGTGTTGCATAATCACTCAGAATGGTTTCAGAAGCAGTTTGTTTTCAAATGAATATCGCTAGCGAAGTTTTCACGTGTCAGATTGTTTGTTTTTTTTTTTACATGAGAAAAGCCTGTGAACCCACACTGTCAGTGCGCTGTAAATACTATGTATGGCATCAATATGTTGTTGACTCTTTTGTACATGATAAGGGATCATCATCATCTTAAAAGGATTCCCACACACACACACACACATATACACACATTTGGGGCGTCCCTCTTCTCAAAGGGATCACCTCCAGGTGACTGACTGTTTGTGGCAGCTGGTGAGACGTTAAGATGGAAAATCCTCTTAGCTTGTCCTCTGAGGCTCTAATAAGTTCCCCACTTACAACCCACATTCATCTATAACACATGGTAACAGAAAACCCCTCACCCACACAGTGCAGATAACAAAATGAGGAAACTGACACATAACTGATACATATTAAAATTATCCGTGGCATTAAAGGGTCAGTGTCACATGCTGGAGGGACGGGAGGAAGCCACTCTAAATTTCACATGTGCCTGTCCACAGGTTGTGCGTGGTCCCTCCTCATTCAATCACTTAATCATAATGCCTGTCATGTGCACAGCGTGAGTAGTCATTGACTGGCTGAGACAAATGAGAGTCATGAGATTTAACACAAGGGTTACCCTTTCCAACAAAAGAGTACTCCTTGTGTGTGTAAGCTGATCTGAATCTACAGTAGTTGTAATTAATTTCACGTCATACTACTTAGAGCACAGGCTAGTCCCACAGCTAAAAGCAACTGAGGGACTTTATAAAGTGAAAGTGAAAATTGTGATTAGCTGTTTATTTTTATTGTACTTCAGTTTTACTTTGTCTGTTATTGCTGTTATTTGTCAAAGGTCACAGCCTGTGGGAACAGCTGCATCATGTACTCTGTGGCTCTGTTGAAAGCGTTCTAAAGACAGAGAGTAAAAGGACAGCCTGAGTTACCCTGAGGCAAAGATTTGCTGTTGGACCACTGCCACCTACCATTCTCTGTGTACTTTGCATGTACCCTGTTACATACAGCATTAGGTACAAAGCACACAAAGGAGCACATATGGCAGCTTCATTATATTCCCAGAGACCAACCAGTAATCCAGAGCTTGTGGTGACAAAATTAAATTGTGAAAATGCACTGACATACAGTGAACCTGGGAGTTTGGGGGACCCTGGAGGTCTGTGGACTGGGAGCAGTTGCCCACTTTGCCTGGTTGGTAATTCAGCCTTGGTTACAGACTGGGAATGTAGAGTTTGAAAGACTTGGGTGTTTAACAGGAGAGAAGTGTCTAATGAAGCAATGCTGTCTAGTTACATTAGCATCCAGTGTTTCTGGAGTTCGACCCTTATCTAATAGCCAGTATAATTTGGCCTCTGCTGCATAGATTTTGACCATATTTTTAAATCTATCTCTCACAAGTCCTCCAGGATTATGCAATTAATTTGCTCGAGTGCACTGTAAAATAAATGTTCAGTTCTGACACCATAATTTCGACAAAGAATAGAAAGCATAGCTACAACATGTATGTCCGTGCATTGTTTGGGGACCAACCAGCAAGACACAAGTTTCAGATTTCAAAATGGTGGGTTTTATTATTGGGCACTAAAGCGGTCAACAAAAGAGCACTAAACTCAAAGGGCAGCAGAACTGAGTGACTTAAACTGAACTCAGTAAAGACAAAATTGACCTAACTCAATAACAAAGAGACAGCACTGAAAACTGCTCATTGCATGAGTCTGTTTTTACATAGTGAACAGACAAGCAGCATAGTAACTCAAGAGAAAGGAATATTAATCCAACCTAAAGACAAATCACCAATAACCCAGTTGGAAGTTTATATCGCTTTCTTTGTCTTGCTTGACCAAATTTAAAAAAAGATGGCTTTGTTCCATTTAAATGTCCCAGTAATGCTGGAAAATGCTTTTTATTGGCATTAACCTTTGTCTCTAAAACAGGAGAGCTTCGTCATTTCATGTGTCAAAGTTAAAGTCAGGTTAAATTCTGAGTGAAGCAAAGGAGGCCGGGTCAGTGTCTTCCCCCATTTCACACAGAAATTAATGGGAAGCAAATTTTGCTCTGACTGCATCATAAGCAGTGAGAGTGTAAGCTTACACAAACCATGGACACTCAACTGACACACACTGACAATGCAGAGCAGCACTCTTTAAGATTATTAATAACAGTTGATACAGTATAATATATGACACAGCATCAAAAGCATAAGAAAGTTAATGTTGCTTTGATTCCATTTAGCTGCTTCACTTTCATGAATCTTACTATAGGCTTTTTTCACAGCAGACATTTTGACTTATTAGAACAAGAAAAGAAGAGGTGAACCAAATTTCATTATATATATATATTATAGCTGAGTTGCATCACATGTATGCCATGCCAGTGACCCAGCACGCACACTACTAACTCACCAAGGTGAAATGCAGTTGTTTTTGATGTTATCAGTAACATCTGTGACTCTCCTGCTGTGACTCGCCAAAATGTCTGCTGTGGAAAGGGCCCATTATGATAGAGTGTAATAAAACAAAACATGGTATAAATACAATAGAATCAGTGTTCTGAAGTGTTGAAGTGTAATCTGTTGAATTTTCCTTTTTACACAACATTAAGGACATCTCTCCAAGCCTGCAGTCATGACAGTACTCTGGCTGCTTAACTATCATACACTGCCATCTAGTGGATGCAATGTTTTAGTGCCCCAAATGCCATAATAATCTCCTGAGTAAGGGCTTTCTGAATGTAGTTTTCTGACTGTTTGTCACAGATGTGCTGCCATGTACTTTGTCATCTCTACTCAGAAATCAGAATCGGTTTCTAGTCTAGTCCGAGTCTGTCATATAAACCATTAATAAGTGCTCGTTCCTTCACTTTTTTAATAATCACCTGACAATAACTGGGTGCACTCTTTGTGTTATAACTGAAGAGTTTCCGCTGATTCACAGTCTTCTATTTTCTCTCTGTACCATTGTTTACCTGTTTTTACTGACTCCTTTCAGTGTGTGTACAGTGTTATAGTTAAAAGTGGCCTAAAATGAAATTTATAAAGAAAATACCATTGTTTCTCCTTGACAGCTGCCTTTAAGTCCAGGAAGTGAAATGAAAAAAAAGAAGGATTTAGTGTGTGTGGGCATGAACTTGTTTTACTACATTCATGGGGTCTAAAAACCAGGAGCCCAATATACTTGGGGGACCGAGATGCTGTTAAGACTTAGTTTTCAGGGTTAAAATTAGGCTTAGGTTAATGTTAGGGTGAAGGTTGGGGTTAGACATCTAGTTGTGATAGTTAAAGTTAGGGTAAGGGGCTAGCCAATGCATTATAATAATGGCGGGTCCCTACAAATACTGTAAAACTGAGAGTTGTGTGTGTGTGTGTGTGTGCTGGCATGCTGCGTGCTATGTGAGTAATGTGAATTATTGGCTGCCTTTCAGTTGCTGCTGAAGAAGAAGAAATCTTTGGCAGTTAGTGAAAAGGGCAGTGAGTCAGAGTACAGCCCCCGAGCTCCAGACTCTAAAAGCAGGTTGCTCAACTCTATGCTTTTTCTTTATAACCTCAGGAAATTATAAAACTTATATCATAAGCACTCTACAGTAATTGTCAATCACCACACAGAAGAAATGATTTGTGAATTTGTACGGTGCAGGCTTGTCTGAGTTAATATGCCGCAGTATCCTCAACTTTTTTGCCTCATAACTTATTAGTAGTATTGATTACTTATATACTCTCATAGCAAATGTGTAGTGTTGATTTTTCGAGTCTGCTCTACATCTGAGCTACTCTCGCTGAAATGTCCTAATGACAATCTGGGCTGAGTTTCCTCAGAAATGGAGCCAGCCCACAGAGGAAATGAAATCGTCCCTTTTTCATGAAAAAGATAGAACAGTGCTGTTCTTTAGTTGCTGGGAATTTTTCAGAGCAAAAGTCTGGAATCTCCACTCTGGCATGTGACTGGATTGGAAAACCCAAAACATTATCTACTTTATGTATATTTCTGATAAAAGACTGCAGGCAAGTCTATACAGCGTGGTGGGGTAGGATCACGGCCGTCCTGGTTTATGAGGGAGTGTGTGTGTGATGAAAATGAAACATGAATACAGTATCTTCCTTTATGATCACTCAATGTTTAGCCGTGAGTCAGTAACACACTGCAGTTCATCTCTAAATGTCAGCAGTCTGACTCATAAGGAAGTGAGACAGTTTTTGAGAGATCCTCTTGCTCTTTATCATCTTGTTTATGTTTATATGCTATTTCTGTCATCAGATATGATCTGTTAAGTCTCTAAGAAACTGTAATGGAACTGAAATGAATAAATGTTCAGTTATTCAAAGAAAAAAATTCATCATAAAATTTTGTATACAAATTCATTGTCCCCAGAGGATGACTCCTACTGACACTGAGGAACCCCTAACTTTCACTCTTTCATCACCATGAGGTTGACATTTGTGGTTTTAGATGAAATGTCTTAGCAACTATTGTGTCATGAAATATGGTTGAGACACTCATGTTCGCCTCAGGATTAATAAACAACTCTGGCCTCTTAAAAAAAAAAACTCCACTGATTTAAATTTCACTCCTGTAACATTGTCTAACTCATGATGAACAGTTGAAAAAGTATAAAAATCGATTGAGCAGAACCAGAGTTATAGTCTTTTTTCTTCTATGCATTCTTCATCCGTGTCGAAAACTGGCACCTACATTACCCATGATACAACTCAACCACCAACAGTTCTAAGGGAGATTTGGGTGTGTTATGCTAATATCGGCTAATGTAGCCTCCAGCCTCCAGCCTCAAGCAGAAATGTGGAGTGGAGTACAGAGGTTTGGTGAACCCACTTCTTTGTAAATCCACACCCCCAGATTGTTCTCATTTTCAAACTTGTCGTCTTTAGCCCCAGTTTACACTGACTCGAGTGATATTACTTCAGTTTATCAGACTACAAACAGCCCCCCCCCCGGGGCCACAAAAGGCTTTATTCAACTCTTAGAATTTCCCTTTAACCATCCATGTCATCATCAGGTCAAAATGTTAACCACAACTTTTAGGACTAAATACTACTGACGTTTCCATCAGCTGTCTCAGCTGTATGTTGTCTTCAGTGCTAATTATCAACTACAGCTAGTTAAACCATTTTGATACTGCAAAAATACAACCCAGCTTATAAACTGTTGAACATGTTAAACAGTTTTTCTATTTGCTAAAGCATCAACATGTTAAAACATGTCATTGTGGTTCAAAATGCCCAGCAGTATGCTGGATTAGTGGTTTGGAAACAGGCTTTTTTTTATGTCATTAGAAGGTTGTGTCATGTTCTCAGACATTTTAAAACTATGAATAAGCCCCCCTGGCACTTTTCCATGGAAGTGCGATACGTTCACTTGAGAGAAAAGTGTTTTCCATGAATCTCTGAAGTAAAGTGAAAATTGCCTCACAGTTCTGACAAACATTCTTCCTCGGAAACATTTTATTTTTCACGTTCAGTTTCACAACTTTCTTACAGTAATACATGTATTGCAGTAATGCAAAAACAACACAAATTAAAAAGCTTTTCGATGAATGTGCAGAATTTAAAGACTGGAACCTCACCGAGACACTTCATTAAGACGTGACGACCCAGTGGAAATTCCTGAACTCTCCTCAGGCTATCTCAATCTTTGTACACACAGGAAATCGCGGCTTTCTTACGAGGTGATGTCACTGTTACGCACATTAATCTAGCACGGCTTTCATATAGGGGGGCCAACAGCTCACTCAGCACAGGAGAGCAAGAGACGCAGACTGCAGCTGTGGGATTCAGCTCCGCCTGGGATGAAGACTTTCTCAGCGCTTAGCAATAGAAAAAACATCTGAAACCGCTCAACGATTACAATAAATATATAAATATCAGCGGATTTCTCTGCAACCGCCCCGTTGGTTGGAAACAACTCCAGCCGACTCCAAAGAAAGGAGCAGCAGAGGAAAAACACCGCCGTTCAGCCGGGCCTGTGGTAGGTTGTTTTGTTGTTCTGCCTGAATGTCAGGGTTTTGTTAAAAGTAACTTAGCGGTAACGAACAGACAGGAAAACAATTGACGCTTGTTCTCGCTGTGTGGTCTTGTGTTTTATCATTTCTTAAAGCCATGTGCTCTGTGACGGACTGCTGCCTTCAGGTTCGTGTCTGAAGTCCCCGCTTTTGATTTTGATCGGTCTTAAGTGGAATTTGTATGTAAATGACACAGCTACAGTCCCATCTGTAACAGCACAGTGTTTAGTGACTGTTGTTTTTGCAAGAGTACCATATATTGTACAGGTAGAAGAAGAATTTAGTCATATGCATCACTTCTGATATAAACGTGTCTAATATTCTTTACGTAAATTAATTTTCTCCAGTAGTCTTTAAATGCACCACTAGCCTAGGCTACTGGTTCTTCCTGTTGATATGGTCTGGTAACCATAGCTTATAGCTTTGTTGCAGGTAATTTCCCACCAGGCACCACCTCCTTTCTCTTAATCCTCTGAAATGCATTGTGTGTATTGTTCATTCAGTCTGTAGCTATGTCATGTTGAAAATAATGACTCTTAATGAAAATGTGAATTATCTATCTATCTATCTATCCAAAATAAAATCTACAATTAAAGAATTAACTGATCTTTTTTCCCCCTCTGCAGCCGATTGTCCTCTTCCATTGGAACCATGGTGGCAGCAGTCCTTAAGTTGTATTTCATTGGAACCGCGCTGACTGTCCTTGCAGTCATTTGTGGAATAGTGGACTCCTTTGGTGGTCTGATGTATGTCCAAGACCGAAACTACATACTGGAGCTGGACCACCAGACACAGAGGGAGCTCTCGTCAAGCATCCACCAGCGACGCTCGTCTGTGACTAAAAACATCGGCTCATAGTGGAGAGAGCCTTGGACGTGATTTACAGAAATGTCCGCTGAATGGACACGTTGGACACTGTGGCAATGGATCAAGAGACTGTGAGACTTCATGCTTCCATTGCTGAGTTTTGATATCATTATTGTGTCTAACTTCTAATACGTGTTGTGTGCTTTGGAAAAGCTCAACATAGGACTGTTTGTTGATTATGGATGCCTAATCCCATAACATGTCTATTTGTTCCACTTTGTATGATCTGCTGTCAGACACTGTAGCAGCTACTCTGAATCAAAGCAACCACAAATCTGACCCCAAATGTGACAGCACTACTGAACCGTCTGCTTTGCGCTAACTGAGGAAGTTTTGTTCTTTCTTTTTGTCCTGTCTTTTTTTTTTTCTTTTTTAATAAAAGGAATTGAATTAAATGGAATATACTGCAGCCTTTTCTAAGAAACAGATGTCATAAGCTGTTCACTGGAAAAGGTTAAAGCTGGAACCTCAGGGATCTGCAGTGAATTAAGAACTTAAGGTTTATTCAACAGGAGATCGCATTAGACCCAATGTGTTTTACAGTATCATACAGTGAGCACAAAAAACACACACCCATTTAGGGCTATGTTAACCCTTACTGACCTGCAAGGTGTCTTCGCTTTGAAACAGTCTAAGACTCAGATAAAACACAAAAAAAAAAACTTAGTACAAGAACTTGGTACAATTGAAAGCAACTGTGCAGGACCCACAGTAGTCAAGTCAGCTCATGCTTTATTTGTATGGGTTTGATCAATATCACATCCAATATCTTTTCAAAGGTATTCACCAGTCCACACAAGCAGCAGGTCCCAACACGGCCCAGGATCTTAGATGACTAAGATAAAGCAATCTGTAAAATTGGAAACCTTAAAGGAGGCAATTAGAGATCTTTCCCAATTCAAATGTGTGTTGCACAACTGCTGACCTGTACAGTCTCGACTCCATGTCCCTGCAGTCAATAACTACGTACTGACAGTAAATCAAAAGCTACATTAAAAACAGCTGCTCAAATAGTTGAAGCCTGTGGGAATTGTTACTCTCTGCTCTGTGCAGCTTGTTAGCCTCTTGTATTGATTTGATGACCCAACTTTAGGATTCAGTGTAATTTCTCTCATTCAGGTTCAGATATCTTTGTCATGAGTTGTCAGAGACTGGGGGGAGGGACCCCCCTCCCCCTGCTGCTCATTTTGAGAGTTCCACAATCTTTTTCCTTTTAAGGTTTTTAACATGAACCTGCAACAGACTGAGTTTACTACTGCATTATGGGAAGTGTAGGATTCAGTATTTATGGCGTTTGACCCATAGAAGGAACACTGTTGCTCTGTCCTCTGTTTCTCCGCTCTACCCCCTGACCCAAGTATGAGGAAGTGTACCAGGTTCCTGTAAAAGCCTCATCACCATCAGGGGCTGCAGTGGTAAGATTTGCACGTACACACACACTAATAGGGACTAGTCATCAGAAGTGAGACACTGGTTCATGGTTAATGCGTCACCTCTTTCTCACAAGGTAGCAACTTCCTACTTGATTGATTTGACCTATTTTCATGTGTGGATTCCACTCCCTTACACAACATATGGATCCAATATAACCAACAGCAAATAATTACATACTTTTGTCTGTAACTGGATCCTGTTTATTATATAAAAAGTGAACATCTGGACAAGATTACAATGTATAAATGGTGAAGTATTAATATGAGCTGGAGGTCAAAGAAACATTATTCCAATCAAAGGGCCAAAAACTTAAACCTGAGGTGAGTCTTTGTTGCTGCAATTTCTTCTTTCCCCCTTCTCCTGCGCTCTAAAGGCTTTTAAAAATGTAATATCTCTTACACCACCTAGTATTACTTTGTGGCACAAATATCCGAACAGCTATTAAGGTAAAAAGACAAAGTCGACATGATTTTGAATCACTTTATCACAAGTGAACGTTAAATCCGAAATAGCCCGCGGCGAAGCAGCTAGGCGCCGTACATTACACACCTCATTTGTGTTTGTTTGTTCAGGTTTCTTGGCACTGATATTAAGGTAACAATGCTCCACCGCAGGAACGGATATTAACGCGTGCGTCAGAGCGCACAACCCATCTTCAGGCACTTTTGGCACCAGAGAGTTTGACGCTCACTCAGCAGGGGAAGTATCACAGGTGAAGACATGACGTCCCCTTGCGTTCAACTGTGCCCACTACAAATTAAATCAGAGAGAAAAAAACTACTAACATTATGCTGCAAGCAGGCCTCTTCACAACTGCACATCTCGCAAAAACGTCTCCATTCCGCATAATATTACGCTTTCCTTTCTCGGAGTTTCGTAATTCCAACGCACGAACGCATCACAAGTTAACCCGTCACAATCAGTCACGCTGGATTCAATAGTTTCCATTTCCTGGTTACAAGTGGCCACAAGGTGTTGAAATGCAAACCCTCCCTGCAGCAGCAGCTCAGGTCACCTGGATGCGGGCAGAAACACCTGCTGGCGGAGGACGCACCACCTCACACAGCACAGCACTTTTTATGCTAATGACCCGTGCAAGCACTTCCCACCCCCCACTTGCCTTGAGAGCGCAAGATTATTAACAGAGTCAGAAATCGGCAGGCATCTCTGTCACTGGCTGCTGGCTGCTCTTATTCTGAGTGAGGTGTCGTTATTTTCACATTGGATATGATCTGGAGACTTGTGGTCCTCGGCGGGGTGTGGGTCTGTCTTCTGGGGGCTGAAGGCAGAGGCCACGGGGGGAGGACGGTGACTTTCCACCGGACTCAGCAGGATGAGAGCCAGGGGAAAGTGCGCACACGCACCAGGAGAGAAGCCAGCAGCTCATCTGGCACAGCCAAGCTTTCTCACGGTCCATCCTTCTCTGCCTGCCGACTCCATCTGACTCCAGCCGAACACGAAGTCCTGGATGACAATACACATGAGGTAAGGTGTGTTTTTAAGTGTGTGAAGCTGGGCTTTGGTGAATAGATGCCAATCAAACAAGTTAAGAGTAATAAAGAAGTGAAACTGTAATAGAAAGAAGAATTATGACATTAAACATGATTAATATACTAAATGATCACCAATGTGTTGATCAATCATTGAACATTATTTTATTATTCTCATATTTATTCAGCCCATTTTGCAAGTCATGCTGTTTGAACATCTTTTTATTTAACCTTATAAGTGATATGTGTGAGTCTCCCTCCTCTCTCCTTCTCCTAGACAGGGTTTAATGGTGATGATGGCTCCTATGTAATTCTCACATGGGTGGGCGATGGAACAGGAGTGAGTATCCATCATGAAAAACAACATGCTGCCTGCTTGTCTTTGTAGAAACACAGTCCCACTCAGAAACATGTGAATATTCAGGCTTTACACTGCAGTTGTTTCCAGCAGTTTCATCATTTCAACTTCACATTTTCAGGCAGAATATGATATTTATTTGTTTTTCTCAGTGTGCTCTGATTGGCGTGAAATATATCCGTTTTAAGCATCCTATCTGAAAGTACTGTATGTCGTATGGAAATTGAAATGGACCCTCATTGTAAAGTTACAACCACATTGATCCCAGGTGGTCCTGGTGCTGTCCACCATCAGCGCTCCCCTTGATTCTTTTCTAGAAGGAGGCTCTTCACGACTTTACAGAAGGTGAGTTGGTGTCAGCAGCACGTCCATCCCGCTCTCTGTGCACAAACTCATGCAGTGACAGCTTGACTTCATTCCCTCTCTTGTCAGTACGGATTATGGGAAGTCGTTCCATGACATTTCCCACCGGATCAACAACACTTTCATGAGGGAGGAGTTTGGAGTCAGTGTTGGACCAGGGAGCTCTGTGAGTTTGGTTTAGTTGTGACACCCGGCTTTTGTTTTTTGCTTTTTTTTTTCATTATGAGGGTGTGAAGTAAGAGAGCTGTTAGAGTTTCATTTGGGGAACGTGCTCATACACGGGGAAGCGCAAGTGTAAAGACATCTCGCATTTTGCCGTCTGTTCAACTCAGTGTCACATCTACATCTGCATCACATTCTGCATCGATATATGTGGTGTGGTTGCTGCCATGTTCAAAAACACACCCACAGAAATAGAAACATAAGAACACTTTGGTGCCAGTAACGGCAGCATGAAACAAAACCTTCAACAGTTAAACTTGACTGTACATTTAGCTCAGTGAGCTGTTTCTCTTTATTCAGCTTTCTCTGCATTATATTCCATCTCATAAAACTAAAAACTAAGCTCAAAGATCATCGGTAGTAAACAATTTCATTTTGATATTTTCATCCTTACTTAACTTATCTTTTGTAACCTCTCATCAATCCTGCAAACATTCCTCAGATCTCCCGTCTGCGTTTATTGGTTTTAATCGACAGGTGATATTGACAGCGGACACACCGGTGTTGGACAACCCAGGAGGGGTCGTCTTCACCTCCACAGATGCCGGTGCGACCTTCAAGTTCATCCAACTCCCCTTCCACTTGGCTCAGCCGATCACGTACCACTTCCTCAACCCTGACTACCTGGTGGCCCTCAGCATTGACGTGAGTCTCACAGCTGATTCCTCTCTCTCTCTCTCTCTCTCTCTCTCTTTCTTGCCATTTTTTTCTAACAAATGTTCAAGGTCTCACGGTGGTTTCACTTGCTCAATGCAGTGTTCTGGGTCAAAACTATATGTCCACACTCACATACAGACACACACACACACACACACATCAAGCACACACCTTAAAGTAAAGGTAAACATTCCTCTGTTCCTTCCTGACATGCAGGGCGGTCTGTGGCTCTCTCTGGACTTTGGTGCCAAGTGGACAAAAGTTCATGATGGAGTGCATTCTTTCTCATGGTGAGAATAAACAGGAAACTAAACCACACACTAAATCCCAGTGTATCTACAGAAACATGATGGATGAACCTTATATTCAATGAAAGCTGAAGGGCAGGAGTAATGCAGGACTGGCAAATACATCATGACGCAGTAATATAATCTTACTTGAATGTACGATGCGGTATATGATATGCAGTATGTTTTAAAGTCATCCTTACAAACAATTTCCGTGGACATTCTTGCAACATGTTTGGCATTTGTGAAATGTTTTGAACTTCTTCTTTCCGTCAGGGGAGCTGGTGTCAATTTGTTCTTCAGCTGCAGTCGAGTGGACACAGGTAGGAAACTGTAGAGGAAATACACTTCCAGGGTGGAAAAGTACTTTGGGTGGGCTGGCTGTTAGCTCTGTATTACCTCATTAGAGGAAATCATAAAATAATAAAAACACAATAAAACAATAGAAGACACTAACAACTGCACTTACTGTCCACACAATACAAACGTGGTGTGCATGGAATAAACCTCCATGACCAGTTGGGAGGCTGTCATACTTTTTAAGCAGAAGATGGTCCAGATTTACAACGATGTCCTCTGTGCTCATGTC